TTTAATGTTATATATGTAATGTAATGATGACATAATAAACATTTTATGTATATTTATACAATGATGAACTACTTTGTGTACATCAGGGAATATGAAAAGCAAACTCGGACCACAAGTATTAAGTAAAAAAAAAAGGGGGGTGCATTTAACTTTTAATGGCTTATTGACCATTTATGATACAGTTTCAGAATGAGATTTGATTACCAATTTTGTAGGTGTAGCTTACTGAAGAGTGACAATATGGCACCACAGAAGAAAACAGTAGGTTTTTACCAAACTCATCAAAATTAATAAATTTTGCAATTTCATCTGCACCAATTCCCATATTCCAACTTAACTTTGATTATTTTGAAATGTAAAAAGCATTAAGTTTTAATTTGTTTATTCTCTAGAAAAAGAGCATTGAAAACATTAACTCCAGGCTTGCCTTGGTGATGAAATCAGGGAAATATGTTCTGGGATACAGACAGACCCTGAAAACCTTAAGACTCGGCAAAGCCAAAGTGGTCATCATTGCCAACAACACTCCTCCTCTGAGGTATGCAGCACAAAAATGACTTGAAAATATCAAATTTTATGTTGTTATTCCAAATTTTTTGTTGGCTTCGGAGTCTTGAACAGGTGAAGATGAAGTCAAATGGTGTTAAGCTCTCGTGCTGAAAATGCCTGATTGAGCTTTTCTGATCCTGGTTTGTCTGTTTGTATGTGGTTATTTAAATATGCTGTGGAAAATAATTGCAATTTTTTTTTATTTAAAGAAAAACATTGAATTTAAATTTAGTTTTGGCATTCAGATATTTAAAGGCAAGAAATGGAAAATTATTATATAGATGAAGGGAAAAATCTGAAAAATGTTTGCATATGTAAAATTATCTTCCTATTATCATGATTGTATAGTATAGAATTCCTTTACCAGGGATTTATCAATATTCAAGGACAGCAATTTTACATGAATGACTTAAGTAGTAAAACATGGAGAGCATTTGTTCTTTACCAAAGTCTGAACTTTTCAGGTGAACATTGTGAACCATTGGACATACAGTGTATTTCATTTTACATGTCTGTTAATGAACCTGAAAAAGAGGCAAGGATCTCTTGTTTGAATTTCAGGGTTGACTAAAACAGGTAATTTTGATAGTGTATGATTTAATGACAGTGAGTGAGTTTACATCAGACAAAGACTAAGACATTATAAATTTTAAGTGTAATTTTCTAACGATTAAAAAAATTCTAAAATGCTGTCAGTGATTGCTTTGTGACATATTTAAGCGGGTGATTATGTTACAGGAAAAGTGAGATTGAGTACTACGCTATGTTGGCCAAGACTGGTGTCCACCACTACACAGGAAACAACATTGAGCTGGGAACAGCCTGTGGAAAATACTTCCGAGTCTGCACAATGAGCATTACTGATCCTGGTAATATCACACTCTCTGCTATAAAAATTCTGCTGCATGTGAACATCTACTAAGTATTTGAATACTGTATGATGGTATATGTAAACATGATTATAGGCAGTTTTATTTTTATCTTTCAGGTGACTCTGACATCATCAGAAGCATGCCTTCACAGGAAGGAGGACAGTAATGTCATTCAGCTGAAATAATAAAGTTTTAGTTGATGTAAAACTTGTTTTTCTTTTTTAACTCTGCTTGAGAGGATGCTGAGTGTTGATTTGTGTTTTCTCATTGGTCCTGATGAATGGGCATGTGGGTAAAAGAACTTCAAAACTTTATATTTTCATCTCCCTAAAACAGCATTCTAACTGCTCTCAACTTGAAAACTGATTTTACACCACAAATGCTGTGTACCAGCCTCTTTCAGAAAGCAAATTTAAAATCCTGGAAATATTTGCAGCATTGAAATAAATTTTACCTTTCATTTTGCTTAATCCTTGACCATATTTGTCCTATGTAAGTTTAGAAAAGGTCTTTTATGAGTTTTATCCAATTAAATTTCATTTTGAGATTTCCTGTCTAAAACTAGTGAATAGTACTTTGAAGTGTAAAAACCAGTTGTACAGATGGCAAACAGGGTTTTGATACTGCTTGGGGGTGGGGGGCAAGAAATCCATGCAATACCGTAAATCTGGAAATTTTTGCTGTACATAAATTTTTAGCAAATTTGCGAGTGCATCGAATTCGCAAAAATATTTTTCTTAAAAATAAATCACCAATAAGAAAATGTAAACAAAGCAGTGGTCATTCGCAAAATTTTGAAACGTAAAAATTGATCAACAGCATTTTGACCCGAATTCGCAAAATAAAATCGACGTAAAAATTTCCAGATTTACGGTATAGGGTTATGTAAATTATTGTAGATCATAGATGAGAATCCTAATATTTTGCCACTTAAACTGCCATTGTCTGACTGAAAACATCAATGAGTGCAACTCCGTAAATTGGAGTTGGATATTGTGCCCCAACGTCAGCGGAAGTCAAGAGAAGGTCAAGAACTCTGTACCAGTCATTTCCTGAGTCAGGTGACCAATTGCTATCTTTTGTCTGCTATCGATATGTGTTAACATTTGAAAATTTTAAATCTCTTTTTCTGCAACCGCTCAACCAATTTTGGTATAGAGCGCCTATGGGTGAAGGGGAATAAAAACTGAATGTCATAGTCCCTGCCCCCCTGAGGGGTGAGGCTAAACCACCAAAATTAATGCAATCTTGAAAAATCTTCTTTACTCCTGGACATCAAGCAGTCAAACTGCTGGCATGATTGTAATAAGCATGGATCCCTATACAAAAATTGTGAAATTTATGGCCCCAGGGTCAGGGGTTCTGGTGCTAGGGAGGGGCTATAAAGATCATATAATGAAAGTGCACTATTTCTTTGAAAATCTTCTCTACTCCTAGGTCTTAGTTTAAACTAAGTACACACTTATGATGAGCAAGAATGCCTCTTCGAAGATTGTGAATTTCAAGGCCCCTGGGTCAGGATTTTTGGTATTAGGGTGGGGCTCTATTGATAGTGTAGTGAAATTGTGTGAATTCTTTCAAAATCTTCAATTGCATACAGGCATGGATCCAGGAATTTTTTTACTTCTATAAATGCTTCATGCCTATTATTTTCCATATCAACTTAACACAGGTTTACGTTTTTGAGGGGGGTCTCCATTTTCTGGGGGGGGGGGGGGGGTCCAAGGTCACTTTTCACTTGGTTTAATGTATCAGTTTAATATCAGCAAATTCCAGGGGGGTGCGGACCTCCACTCTAGATCTGAGCATGGCATAGTTATGATGATGAAGGTACCTCTATGGTGTGTTTATATATGATCCTCTACATTGCTAAATTGTTGTACTCAGATGACTGTTAAGGCCCTTGGGCCTCTTGTTAAATTATTGTTTAGGCCAAAGGATAATCCCTGTGGCAAAAGGTGAAGGTCATTGCAGCTTATAAATGGTTAAAATATAAAGAAGCAAGATAATGAATTATTATTTTTGTCATGCAAAAAGAATGCAAAATATTAAAGATGAAAATGTCAGTGGAACATGAGGTGAGCTGATCTAAAAAGCTTTATTGTTCATGACATAGTAAACCAGTGAATATAGAAGTTCATTTTCGCTTATCCCAATTTTTTATTAAATGAACAAGAGAAGTTAAACTTCATTCAAATGAAAAGCCACAACTTTTCCAAAGGGAAGTTTATAAAGTTCATAAATGTAGAAAGAAAGAGCAAAAAGAATAAAGGCATGTCATCCCACAAAATCTCAAGAACCACTGCTAGTTTGTGGCCACATAATGGAAGGAAAGGGATTTGCACTGGGTGGTAGAACATTTCGCATGGCAGTATGAGGAGGTAATCTGCTGCTGGAAAAGAGTAAGGCCATGGTTATTTTATTGTATGTAATAGCAAGCAGCTATTGATGTCCCTACGGAGTGTGTGTGTATCTTTAGGGGGGGGTCCATCCAGACAATAAGTGCCCCTAAACACACTTAAATAAGGGCACATTTTCTGGGAGGACCCCCACCACAATCTGCAGAGGCAAGGTTGTTTTCCAGATTAGTGCCCAGATTTCTATTTTACAAACTATGGGCCTGGGAATAGGGTGAGAATAGGGATATATATTAAGGAGGAGGTGGGGGGGTGAAAACTCTTCTGACAATAAGGTAATAATTGTATACTATAGGGTTATTGAACTTATATTGGTAAATATTGGCACTCGTTGGCTGTTCAAATGCACGAGCTTGCGAGTGCCAATATTCACCAATATAAGTTTCAATAACTCCTTTATTATATAGCTAAAACATTTTCACATAATTTATTATAATTATTCCAACTAAAAAAAAACCTCAAATTAATGACTTTTTAGTATCGGTATTCAAATAAACGTCTGTCCTGTTAGCGTTCAATATCGCATCATTCTGATGACCCTACCGAGCCATATGATTTGCATATTTAGGTTTAATGGGTCTAATACATACTAGATTTTAATAATTTCATTTTTGTGTGAAAAATAAAAACATCTTATCTAGATGCCACTTCATTTCTTTAATTTTAAGCTCTGAGAATACTCGACCAGACGACTCTTTTTGTTTACAACGGGGCGTTCGATATTGAACGCTCGTATTCTGAATGTTTGGGGCATACTCATATACGTAATACAAAGTCAGCGTTCAATAACACGTCTCAATATTGAACGCTAAAATTCTCTAGATTTTTGGTAGTATTTTATTACAGACTATTTATTAGCTATATAATAAAAATGTATATCTTCATACTGGCATAAGCACCAAAGTATAATATAAATTCATATGGTCAAACAATAGCCCAGATATTTTGGATAGATTAGGGATTCCAAAATATACAAATTGTTCCATAAGTCATAATCCTGGGAGCCAGTAATAAAAGGTTCCTTACCCTTTCACTGACATTACTCTTTATAAAACAACAGCCAAAAATCCTCAGCGTCAATACTGTACAGAAAAAGAAATCACATGGATAAACAACTCTTTATTCATCACAATTCAAAACCTGTAAGAACAATACAGTGAAGTTCTTTTTGATCTTAGCTGATGGTGACCAAAAATCATAAAACAAAGTCTACAATTTTTCTCAGATAATCTCTGTATTTGATGTTGAACCACAGACAGACAGACATTTAGGATTTGACTGGTGGGCGGAGATCAATATCGGGTCTGGCTGGATCTGGGTACATTCCCCGGCTCTTGTAGTCAATAGTTGGACTGTAAAACTGTAATACAAAATAAAGCGCCTGTTCAGTTTATGACACCTTCTCTTCGTTTTCAGCCTACTTACACACAACTACTCTACAATGTAGTCATACTTTTTTCTATGTTCTATTAATTTTCACTGTGAGCAAGGTCACAATTTTTCTGCAAAAATTTGTCACAGCTTACATAAAATGCATTTTGAAGATATACCCTGGTAACAAAAATACAAGAACTCTGCGTTATCAAATTCTCCTGGCTTCAGTGATTGAATTCAAATTGTAATTTGCTGAAATTATGACCCCATGGAAAACTTATTATCATTTGTTATAAAGTTTTTAAATCAAACACAGCATTAATGATACAGGATTTTTAAGGAGGCAATAAAATGGAGCCCTTATTCTCCAACCTCTGAAGAATCCTTAGGGGAGGAGGATTTCTTCAGAAAAGAAGGGGGTCCTTACTGCTTGATAGGGATTATAGGACATTCATAGCAATGTATAAAGCCTATTTCATAATCGTCTGTCCTGAATTGATACACTGTACCAATATTGCTGACTTACTTTGTACTGTATATTCTGAGGCATTTTCTCAAAAGGCTGGGGGTTGCTTGTGTGTCTCCACCTAAACAGAGTAAAGCACTTATTTTTTCACTAACATAAAACATACAGTAAAATCTGTTTATAAATGCATTAAATTACATATAAATGTAGTCTTATCATATAATGATTATCTTAATAAATAAGTGTTCAGTGTAATCTTGACTGTGAACACTTTCTATTGAAATTAAATTACAAGAAATGACACATAAATTAAACTACTAAATTACTAATTAATTATCATAAACTGTAATACTGACCTTTGGAAGTTATGATTATCATAATTTTAATCTCCAATGAAAACTTACGTGACATCGGGTGCTTTTCTGCCGAGTCTTTGGAGGTACCAAGTTGCTAGACCAAGGCCTAAAAAGGTACAGGTCCATATAACCTGCATCTGTAAATAGAAATAAAATCATCTCACTGTAGTCTGTGCTCATGTGGTCAGTTTTAGTTATTTATGGTGTAGGTACACATGTACTTATTTCAGTGTTAGTATTTACAAAAGATGGTTGAAAGGTAGAGATAATGTGCCTATCCTAAAAATGCTTTATTGTGGAACTTGGTGGGCATTTGAATTCCATGTCCATTAAGCCATATGTATGTGGCGGTCAGCCAGGTTCGATCACCAGTGGCCAGAATAGCTCAGTTGGTAGAGCACCTGACCTGAGTTTCAGGGGGCGGGGTTTGAATCCTGGTCTGGTCCACTGCATTTTCTCCTCTCCCGTTACATTTGGTGCCGTACGTGCCATGCCCTGGACTTGACGGGTGAAAGAGCTTCCAGGGATGAGCCTGGGTTGGGGTCTTTCGAGGGCCAAAGACCTTTAACAGGTTGGGCACAGTTCCTCTTTTCGGGGAAGTATTACTATAAAACGGGATTATTCCTCTTTTCAGTGATAAAAACATAACTGAATTCGGGAATTTTGTCATTTTTTTTAATAATGCCTCAAAACTATTTATTAAATTAAAAGTGCATAAAAATACGATATGATGTGTTTGTTTAATCTTTATTAAACAAACCTTGCTGACTGAAAAATTCGGTCCTTCAGAGCTGCAGTCAAGAGTAAGACGAGATTTAATCATACGACATCAGGAGTATTCTTCAAATGGATGTGAAAATTTCCCTTAAAAGTATTTTATTATTTATTCAAAAACCGAAAACTTTCATAGCTTGGTTTCATGGAGGTGACATCCTTTGAAGGTGCATAGGAATTTAAACTCACATGCAGCAGTAATCCAAGACTTTTACTTTAATTTTCCCTGTTGATAAATGGAACGAAGAGTATGGAATCTAATAAAGGCATTCATTTTAAAACCATTTTAAAAGAAGATCATTTGAAATTCAATATTTCAAATAAATATTGTCATCTGTAAAAGAAGAAGCAGTTTTTAAAATGATTTTCACGATGTCATTTATAGAAATAGTATAAAATAAAATTAGAACGAATAATTTCATGAACGAGTTAGCAAGTGCTGAACGTATTCAATCTCGTAATTTTAACATAGGCAGGGTTTGAAATTAACAGTCGCCCACTCGCAATTTGCGACCAATATTCTTTGTAGGCGACTTAAAATTACGTTCAAGTAGCCCACATGGTGATTAAAAAATTTACGTTAATAAATATTTGTTTTCCAATTTTGTCCGAATGTTCCGTTTTTTTTTCTTAAAAAATTTCGTAATCATTAAAGTGCGTATATTTACCACTGAGAAGTATTTATACATAAAGTATCTGAGTGATTGTAACGGACAAAATCGGGCATCGACGCGTCAATGAGCCCAACAAACCAAAAAGTATATTGGTTGTATCTGTGAAAAAAACTGCCATGTGCTTGAATATATGATGTTTAATAACCATATAAATCTTCTTAAACAAAAACTTCAAATTTAGATAAGTCATGCATAATATTTCTACGGATAGAAAAGAAACACGAAGCATATGTCGTGATATAATGAAAAAAAAAAAATAACGAAAAATGAGGATGTTGTATTTTTATTCAATAGAAGGTGTGATAATTTGTGGGCGAATAAATTTTGATATGGGCCCCAGAATTGCAAGGTTTAGTAGCCCACATGGCTATCAAGGATTACAAGTTACCGGTAGTTTAAAACCCTGATAGTAAGCATCCGTAAGAAATCTATATCAAAGGAATATTTCACCACCCTTTTTCAGCTTTCTGCAGCAATCAGTATCGCATTTTTTGGCAAACATACACTTATTAGACAATAAATATTTAGAGGATGTGAAAATATTCTTGCACTTTATCTTTTATTCAAAACAAACACGAGAATAGAGGCTACCAGAGTGAAAATTCCTGAATACAGTAATGTTTTTATTAGTACTGAAAAGAGTAATAGTTCCCTTTTATAGTAAAACTTCCCCCAAAAAGGAACTGTGACCAACCTGTTCAAGAAGGGAGGAATGTGGCGGTCAGCCATGCTTGATCGACGATGGCCAGATAGCTCAGTTGGTAGAGCACCTACCCGGAGATTCAGGGGGCCCAGAGACGAATCTCGGTCTGGTCCACTGCATTTTTCTCCTCTCCTGTTACACTTGAATCTCCTTCACTCAAGATACTTAGTTGCTTGGCAAATTGGCCCAGTGATTTTTGAAGTGAGAAGTCGAAAATGTGTAAAGTTTACAGATGGACAAATATAGACAGATGTACGCCGGAAAAATATGACCAGACAAGCTTGCTTGAGCCTCCTGCTCAGAAGAGCTAATTGCTTAACTTTGTCTGGCCCTATAACAGGTCCAGTCCAAAGACTATTTCTACCTACGTAGCTATTAATAGCTATGTAGGTATTTAACCTACCCAAAGTAGCTATTTTAACCTATTTTCTGCTTTACTTGCATTTTGTGGCCAAACGCAGGAACGGCGCAATATGGTGAGCACAAAATTTCCTAATACAGTCACATTGATGATGGATAGAACAAAAATTTAGCAACAAAATGATTACTTCGTGTATTATCAATTTGCATACAAACTAATGTAAAATTGCAGATTCAGGAAATAATCATTTTTTGGATAAAATTTTGTCGTATTCATCATAAGTGTGACTGTATCAAAAATATGGGATTCACCATGCTGTGCCGTTTGGTCTTTTGAGCACAAATTGCAGAAAATACAGAAAGTAGGTAAAAATAGCTACTTTGGGTAGGTTTAAATAGCTATGCGACGCTCGTAACTGCAAGCTCTAAGGCCAAAATAAAAAATACTCTTGTTTCCTGTCACCCGACCTACCCTACATTTTACCCTCCGACCCTAAAAGTTTTTATTACATTTTCATTTTTTGGATAACTATTTTTCTAAAATACAGAAGTTGACCAATGATATTTACAGAATTAATACATCACAAGTGTACAGGTTACCTTTACTTTATAAATCTTGATTAAGAAACTTGCTTTGTAAACTGTTAACATATCATTTTCTTGTTATTACATGCTATATGTTCTGCATTCATTATATTTTGAAAATAAAATTTTCTCTCAAAATAAAATTTTTTCCCTACCTACCGACCCTAATTTTTTTTGTCAGGGGACAGGAAACAAGAGTATATTTTATTTTGGCCTAACGACAACGCCTGGGCGAAGAGAAAATTCGGACTACCGCACATTCATTCCTTAGAATTTTTTGCCGCAGTAATTTTGACCCACAATGCATCACTTAGCAAAGTTGCGTTCTCGCGAGAATGACGGCAAATGTTCAACAAAAATTTTACTCGCCTTGATAAAATGGATACATATTGAAGATAAATTGTAAACGTAACTTTTTTCATTAACTTTCAGCACTGATCAGTTTTTTTCTTGGTATTTGTAACTTTCATACGACGTCATGTGGCGTCAGAGTCTAGACGCACCAAATGTCACGTGTGGTTTGACGAGCCCGATCTAAATTAAAACAACAGAAGAGTTTGCGCTCGCTCTAACGCCAGTAACGGTCGCACCGTCAACATATTAGCTACGTAGGTAGAAATAGTATTTGGACTGGACCTGTACAAGCCATACTGCCATAGTTGTTTAACCGGGTCCTAAAACAATGCTGAACATAAATGTAACATCTCAAAATCAATAAATTGAAGTGTTTACCCCTTTGTGGTAGGAAACTTCCCTCCATCGCATACCATACATCCAGTTTTCTGGAGTAAGTTTATTAAAATCTATATGCATTGTTGCGTCCTAAGTTTTTCGTGTCGTCAGTTTGAAGGACGTTCTATTCAGGTGGGGCTTATAACCGCTAAATGATTTTAATGTCCAGAATATTATCAAATTTATTTTTCTCCGATATTATATGCATTTTCCCTACCTTATGCTAATGCATAAATTAGTAAATACAATGTAATTTGTTCTAAGTCGTAAAGTTTCTATTTTTATTCATTTTTTAAGAGGAAGAGGTAAGATATTTTTAAAACATGCTGTGAGTGTTAGAGTTGGATAGAAATACATTTGTGATGTGAAATGAAATATGAGTGTGTTTTGCATTTTTGTTTCATTGAAAAATAATTACTGCTTTTAGTTCTTCCTAAAAAAAAAATCTTATTCATACTTTTTTTCCATTTATGACCATTTATATATTTTAGAGTAATTAGGATACCATTGGTGAATCGTTGTCATTGAAGTGCTTTAAATAGGTGTCGAGTTGTTTTGTGTATTGTGTGTTTCAAACTCACATCTAGAGGCGAAAGCTCGGAAATGGTTGGGAGAGGGGACACAGAAATTGTTTCTGTAATACATTTTTGACCAATAGTATAATAATAACAACATTTTGTGCTATTAATATACTATGCTTCTAAACTTATGTACAGAAAGAAGTGCCTATGATTGGAGAATTTTTAATAAGAAAAATAATTTTTTTTATTATTTTTTTTTATTAAATTCTTTTATCAAAAAGTATTTCAATTAAGTGTTTAAAAAATTATTTCAAAAGATATACACCTAGAAGACATGTAATATAATTAATGAAAAAAGTTATATACCTTTATCATGGGGAGGGGGCGAATTTATTACACACCGCAAAGAGATCTTGGTCAGTTAAGAGCTTATATTAACCAAAATGGCCGACAATGTGGATCTTGAAGTTGACCCAAGTGTTGAATTTTTATATAAAACTATGTGTAAGACTAAGACATGCAAAATTTTATTCTGAATTGAAATATTTTGATTGATTTAAGACTTACTCATATATTTTAATGATTCACAACCATTTTATACGCGTAAATGAAAGAACTTTTCTTCTTACTTGATGTATTATTGCAACAGAATATGGATTCTAATTCTTTAAACAATGGAATTCTTGTTATTCTTTTATTCTTCTGAACTCGCATTATGTACGGGACTAATACCTAGACAGTCCTGTTACAGTTTTTTTCCTCACAAATATATATCTGTAATATTGTAGGTGGCCATAGCTTAAGAAACTTATGATAACTCAGGTGATCATAATAGCCCATGGGCATCTAGTAATTTAATATACATGATTTACAAGGCATAGTAAACAAGCAAGGATGTACAAAGTCAGTTTCAGGGCAATTTTGGGGTTTGGGATGGGTGGGTGGGGTGAGGTTCACCTACTCCAGCATGCAAGAGGTTTGCAGTGAGATACTTTTGACTTGGCGCCGTGTAACCACTAGCATCCATTGTAAAATTACTTGCCGCTGAAATCATAAGTGGAAATAAGTTGTATATTCAAATATTCAGGCATTGAAATTACCAAATGACATAAAACAGTAAAATTTTCATTATTTGTGATTAAACTTACACATTAAACAAATTGTTAATCTTTATCAGCAATAAATTCAATATTTTCAAAATTGAAGCAGAAAACAAAACAAATCTTCTGTTTAACGATCGGGATTGGAATGCAGAGAATCTAACAAAACGAAACTTTTTCGCTATGAAATAATAGGAATTTATGTTTTCTGACAAGCAGTCAGCAGAAATAACTTGAAGTCAAATCAAAAGTACTTTTGTTGAAAAATTGAAATAATTGTAGGAGTAAGGTTCCATGCAGCCAAAAAAAACCAAAGTCCAACCCAGACATTTGCTAGTTATGTTGCATACATTGTGGTGTAATATTTAAAACTCTTATATAGTAAAAATAATTGGATTGTTAATTTTGCATATCTCTAATGAAAAAAAAAATGTTTTGATGTATTTTTACAGTACAAAGAGACCCCAGAAAGAGGAGGGTGAAGCCAGTGCAGAAGCACCTAATTCAGGTGGACTTTGGCGGGGCTGATGACAGTGATGACAGTGATTTTGAATTGGACAAACACCATAAAGGTATCATCTTCATCCTAAAATTAAAATGTTTATTAAAGCTTAATTATGAGAACCTTGTTTACATTTAAAGAAAAATTGTTTACAGGGTTCGAAGTTAGCGAGAAATACTCGCAAAATGCGAGTTGATTTTTAAAACAGCGAGTAAAAATAGAAGACACTCGAAATTTTTAGCGAGTGGTGTTTTTGACCCAAGTAGTCTTGTATCCATATTTTTCTGGTAATTCGTCTTGCTTTTTTGAAATTTGAAAAGAGTCACAATGCATTCGCCTGATTCGGTAAACCTCGGTTGATTCTGTCACCATTTCCCAATCAGCTGATGCAATTTATACAAAAATGTTTCATTGTAGTTTATTTGACATATAAAATGTGTCAACCTTGTCAAAATTTACCTTAGATAATCATTAGTTTTACACCAAATAATTTCTCCCATGACTTTTTGAAGATCGTTTTCTGCAGCTAGACAGCCATGTTAGGTGCCCGCTGTAAATATCACACCTGGTTAATTATGCCCGGGATGTTTGACCCCATTATTCAGTAGCCAAAAATCCCAACCTACATACCCTTGATCATATTGATTTTCTTTTTTGGAATGTTACAGGAATTACAGGAAATAAATATATTTTAATTTTTTTTTGTGTGTGTGTTTTTTTCTTTTAGGCCAGATTACTTTTTTTTAATGTAAAAACATTGATGTTCTTAATTCTGTACTGACCTACTATAGAAGGACCTGTATTATTATTGATTTAAATTAGCATGAAAAAGACATTTAATCCTTCTTTTAATTTTTGCTTGTTGATCTTCATTTTAGCCTGTAGATTTTATATGTACAGGCTAAAATTAGCCTGTGGTTAAAAAAGTTAATTTCGATCCCTGGTTTAGGGGGAAACCTTTGAATTCCCTCTAGATGAAGACTTTGCATCGTTGTTTCGTTTATGGGTCTACGTCACAAAGAAACAATTTTTTTACTGTACTAAATCAAAGGAACTTATTGACATCAACATTTTTTATTACACAGTAATAATCAGAGAATTTTATCTGTTTTGCCTGGTGAGGAGGTTCCCCAGTAAAATATGGCCATTTTTTATCAATATGTGATATATTTAGTTTTTTAAGTTTCATTTTAGAGTTCTATTGATTTTCATTTTTCAAAGGTTTTGATGACTCGGATGAGGATGACAATCAAAAATCTGAAGAAGAAGAAGAGGAAGATGATGAAGATGGTGATGGTGATGATGATGATGATGAGGAGGAGGAGGAGGAGGACAAGAAAGAGAAGAAAACAGAGGCGAGTGTAGAACCAGACAGTGTCCTTGAGGAATCTGGCAGCTGTTTGTCTAAAGACGACGCTGAAAGGACGGAAAAGGTGAGGATCAGGAAACTTGTTCTTAATCATTGTTTGAATTAAGATCTGAAATGTTAGATACAAATAGAATTGCTTTATAATGTCACACAAATCATTTATATACATATTCTTTAAAGTAAATATTGCCAGTATTAGAGCGAGTAAAAGTGTTATTGGAAGTAAAATTTGAAATGAAATGTCTGTTTACTTTGTTACAGAGTGAAGGAGTAGTGCCCTACATTCCATTCAAACACAAACCAATCAAGGTCACCATCTGCTGTGTGTGTTTAGGGGACATCAGGTAATCTGTCTTCTCTTACTAGCTCACCTAATCTGAAAGCTCAATTGAGCTTTTCTGATCAGGCCATTCCAAGTTTTTTCTATGTTTAGTGTCCGCGTGCGCCTTGGTTTTTGACATCCCATATGAGTAAAAACACACAACAACAGGAGTCCTGAAATTGATAAATATAGTCGAAATTTTGAATGATGGACAACTCGCCCCCAAGACAGGTCGCCCCCAAGACAACTCGCCACCTATTCAGGACAACTCGCCCCCAATTTAGGACAACTCGCCCCCATTCAAGACAACTCGCACCCAGTTTAAGAAACCAGCAAATATTAAATATATTTTATAGATATTTGAATTCAATTTGTTTCTACAAAATTAAAACAAATATCAGAAAATATTTTTTCTCATACTATTAAAAAACGAAACAAATATTAATAATTTAAACACTATCACTATTGTCACACTGGCACTTTTTATCTATATCTTCGCTAAATTCACAGATTTATTTTAAACTTTCATCACAAAACCTATATAAACTAAATAAATGTAATTTTCAGAGCTTGCATGATAAAATTCTCCATAACGTTGAAACTGCTTCAGAGCTTGGATACGACATGCCAATTTTTTTAACACTAAAAAAATTCGTAATATTGGAGCGTGCAGGTACTAATTTGAATTAGTTATCACTTTGAAGTATCAAAATTAGTTGTTAGCTTGGGTGTGTCATTAAAATTTCTGTCTGATGTTTTTATTATCATTATCATCAGTTTCCTAATGCCGCCGATTTTACTTTAACGTTAATTTCGTCATTAAATAATTTGGATGTTTTAACAATGAAGAAAATGTTCATTAAAATAGAAATATTTGATAAATAATATTAAAAATATATATAAAATAATAAAAAATGAAAAGAAAAGAAACTATGCATTTTTTTCATTCTATTTCGTTAGAATAAAATGAAAGAAAGCATGGATATTATGATAAATCTTTTATGCATACACAATGCATTTATACAAAAAAATGACGTTAATGCATCATGGAAAAAATAAATAACCTAGCTATTACAACTGTAAGTATTGTTTATGATTTAAATTTGCATATAAAATATACATTATTGAATAACAGGTATTTTTTTCCTTGGAGTTCACAAGAAAATAAACAGTGGGGGCGAGCTGTCTTGGGGGGTGGGGGAGTTGTCCTAAATTGGGGGGGAGTTGTTTTAAGAAGTGTTGGGGGTGACTTGTCTTGGGGGCGTGTTGTCCTGATTCCGAAATTTTTGAGTTTTGTAAATTTCTCCAAATAATTCTGTACAGTAAGTTACATTGGATGTATTGTAAGCATTTGTAATTTGCTTAAGAATAGATATTTCTTCTATTAAAGCAGTTTATTTAGATCAAATCATTTGAAGGACATCATTTTTATGACTTTTAAGCTTGTGTTTTATGTTTTGGCTTGTGTGTTTTTTGCGAATAGGTAGGTAGGTTTTTGAAAGATGAGTGGACGCTAAACAGAGAAAAAACTTGGAATGGCCTCACCTGTTGTCTGCTTTTCGACTTCTTCTTAAGAACTGCTGTACCAATTTTAACCAAAGAAGTTAAAACACATTCTTGAGTGTAAGAGAGTTTAAATTATAAAAAAAAGAAGCCCAAATCTCATTTATAGGAGAGATGATCAAGAAAAGTCAAAAATAGGGTTGGGTCATTAAATTCCCTCAAGAACCAATGGGTCAAAAAAAGTGTAACTTTTGTGGAAGCTTTCTGGAGTAGTGTAGTTCTTTATTGTTCAAACCATGATCCCCAGGGGATAGGGATGAACTACAATAAGTATTACAAGGGAGGGAATCTGGAGAAGAACGGGAGAGTCAAAGAAACATATATCATGAAACTCATTTATTGTGTAACAATTTGTTGTGGATAAAATAGATTTGGATACATTTGTTGTGTATCAATTGTTTGTGGATAAAATAGATTTGGATACAATTGTTGTTATCAATTTATTGTGGATATTTTGTTTACAATTGTTGTGTATCAATTGTTTTCAGTGAGGAGGATGATGAGATTGTGGAGTGTGATAATTGTGGAGCATCCGTTCACGAGGGTAAGATTATTTTATTTGTAAATTAATTTTACATACAATATATTTATTATATGCATCGGTCAGATTGTAATTGTCATTATAGTGGAATTGAAACATATTTATGAAAATTAAGTTTTTTTGTTGCTGGGCAGGTTGCTATGGAATCAGTGAGAACCATTCGTCGTGTAGCACTGAGTCATCAGCCAGTACTGAACCCTGGTTCTGTGATGCTTGTAAAGCCGGTCTTAAACCAGTGAGTATTACAGTCAAATAATGGAAATCTTAATCAGCAATTTATACTTATATCAGCAAGCATGAAGTTTGTTTATGCAAAGTGAGGTTTTATAAATTTTATTTATTTTAAAAGGTGAAATAGTTATGCTGAACATGAAATGAAATACCTGTATACATCAAGTACTGTGTCAAGATAGATCTGTGTACATAAGAGGTGTTAAGAAAGTTCGTTCCAGGATGAAATATTTTCAAAAATTTCAAAGTAGTGCTTAACTAAAGAGATGAATTTTCAAGTCTGACAAAATCACAAGAGTGTGCTTTAGATTTCTAGCAATTCATTTCTAGCAGGAAATTATAGGATTTTTCTTCCATATGAAAATATATATAACATCTTTAAAGTACTCGAATGATAGAAATGCTGGTCATTTTGAGTGAAAATAAAGGATAGTTTACTGTTTTTTCTTCATATGATCTTATCTTGCATCAGACAAGCTGATGAGCATAGGTATAAGAACGATAGATCACTTTTCAATAGAATAGAATTGTCGTTTTGGAATTTTTCACAGATTTGATAATTTTTGCTTAATATTTGAAAGGATGTTTTGACCTGTGTGCTTAATATACGAGGGGTGATCAAAAAGTTCGCGAACTATCTCTATATCTACAAAACCACAATTCAGATTAGAATGAAATTCGGTACACACGTAGCCATACACAAGTTCTAAAAATAGCGTATGCTGAATAAAGTTTTTCTCCTTGTTTGTGACATCACAATATGAAAACGACGTCACTATGTAGGTCACTTGTGACGAAAAATGGTTGTCTCAGTCGAACTTGTTCAACAAACGACTGAACAATTTATTGTATATCTTAGAAATCCCTCTACAGTATCATATAATAATTTGTACACAGTTTATTGAGATAAATGAGTTCCTATAAATTCAATTAATGATTGTATTGATCGTTTTAGTGAAGGAAGACTGATGGTTAAACATGATACTTGTCATCTTTCCCAGTGAAAGCAAGTTTGAAAAGATATGTATTTTTAATTAAGCAATATGCTATCAAAGATCTCCAATTAACACTTTGAAAAATAAATGAATATTTGAACAATAATATAAGTATTAAATACCTAAGATGTCATTTACTTTAGATTTTAAACATATTAGATATGATAAAAAGGAGGCACCCATTCTCTATCCACCTTGAATAAAGGTCTCTCCCGAGACAGAAGATTTGTGTTTTAATGGTCGTCATGCTTATTTTTGGAAAGGATATTCTTATTCACCCATTCTGTTGCCGAGATATGACCATTTCTGACAAATGACCTGTTCTTGTCATAAAAATTAACTCACATGGAAAGAAATATAAAACTCAGAAAAATCTTTCAACTTTTGTGACAGAACGCTACGGAGGGGGTCACGTGACCGCCAATATCACGTGATTCACACATGCGCAGAACGGTGGCAGATGTGCATTAAAATCGGGGAGGATTAATTTAAAATATAATCAACATTAAAACCAAATATTGTTTCTTTTATGGAAGTTATTCAATTAGTTCGCGAACTTTCTGATCACCCCTCGTATGTTACAAATATGCGTTATCCCTAATTTATCTGAACAGACATAATCTGTTTTAATACCTGCCCTCCCCTTATTGATTTAACAAAAGACAGTTAAAACCTTATCAGTAGCAAGAATGGACTCTGTAAACATGAAATATCACAAATTGTAAATATCTTCTCATCGTATTTCTTTTTGAAAATAAAAGAAAAATGTGGAACAAACTTTCTTAACACCCTTTACATCCATTACTTTATAATTTACAGATCTGTGAATTATGTCCAAATCCTGGAGGTATATTCAAAGAAACAGATGCAGGAAAGTATGAACTTATGAATGTCAACATTATGGAGAAAATATTTTTTAGGGGTGGGACAATACACAGATCTTGCGTTACGATACGTATCTTGCTACATTAGCACGATACGATACGTATCTCAATATTATGATAAATTATAAAACTATTCAAAAGAATTAGTATTTTATTTCATTTTTTTTTGGTCTTGACATTAAATCAACAAATTATTCTATATCAAATCATGTGTGCTTTGAAATTAATACTTGAAGTTCATCAATTTCATTGATTAAAACTTTAAAAATACAATTTAATATAATACATGTATATATTATTATTAACAAGTTGTTTAGAAATAGTTGTGTAGTTCATATAAGAACACTGACTAAAAATTCATTTAAAAACATCACATTTACATTATTAATTGCTGAAAGTCTGTGGCCAAGTTGAGATTACAAAAAAAAGTATAAGACGGACTAACAATTACATGTAATAATATCAAATGTTCAGAAACAATACTTTCTGTGTATAGCACGCTTTACATACTGAACATTTCTTGTCCAATCTTCCAAGGCTGCTTAAAAGTGAAAACATTGTACCCCAAATCAACGACTTATTAGTTCTACAGTATGTTTTCAATATCAACATCATCTCTGCTTCGTACAAGCCGACATTTTCCAAGGACAGGTACTTTCATTTTCAATTTTTGGATAGGTCGTTCGTGTATCGTTTCGTACTGATATATGAATGCTTGTATCGTAAACCGTATCTTAGAGGAAAATTTCGGTATGTATCGGTGTATCAGTATATCGTCCCACTCCTAATATTTTTCACATTTGATGACATACTTCAATACCTACAAGTCACATATAGCCTCATCAGTATTTGTATTGTTTCAGATGGGTACACCTTGTGTGTGCACTGTACACCCCTGGGGTCGCCTTTGGAGATGTAGATAAACTAAGCCCTGTCACATTGTTTGAGATGCCATACTCACGCTGGGGTGCTAGAGTAAGTGGACTTAAGAAGACTGTATGGAATAAGATCTTAACATTGCAGTAATTTTAGTGCTGATTGTACTCTAAATCAATTAATTGATTTACATGTCTGTTTTAGGAGTGTTCATTGTGTGAAGATGCCAGATTCAGTAGAACTGGAGTTTGTATTAGCTGTGATGCTGGGATGTGTAGAACATATTTCCATGTCACATGGTATGCTGCAGAACAAACAGGGACACATGCTCTATTTACAACTCATTCATTTATCAAACATATACTGGGTACACTAGTTCATAAATGTACTATTAGTAGTTCTATGACGGTTATTGCAAAGATCAAAGAGGTTACACAGCCATTATTCTCCAATAAATCACAAATGTCATCAACAAATTATTGATAATTTTTTTCCTCTAATTTTGACTGCCTTCACTAGGAAAAAGACGACAGAGATATTTTTTGATTACGATACAAATTGGTGGGAAAATTTACTTTGGGTTCTGATCACATACTTTTTCTAATCCTTGATATGAAAATGAACAAGGATTGCATCTGGGCTGCATTGTTTTTTGCCAACCAAATCTAAGCTATCGGGTATATACTCCAACAATTCTTCCAACGTGGGAAATTTTTCTTAAATAAAATTGTATTATAAAATCCTTTTTTATATCCTTTTTAGTCTGAAAAAAACATCTAAGAGACTCTATATTTCTGTTTTAGTGCTCAGAGAGAAGGACTGCTATCTGAAGCCGCTCCAGAAGAGTGCATGGTAAGGGGACAGCATCATTAATTTTCTTAGAACTGTCATCATTGTTTTTTTTACTTCAATTAAAGATTGTCTTTTAATTTAAACTTTCTAGGACATTGCTGATCCATTTTTTGCTTACTGTAAAATGCATGCAGAGAAGGTGATGTCTCGAGCCAAGAGAAGAAATTGGCTAGCAATACAATCTCATATTAGAAAACATCCAGAGAAAAAAATTGAGGATGAAAAGGAAAAAGTAAGAGTCCATGCAAATTTTGTGTCAAGTAACCATTGTGAGTATTCAGAATAATGACATCTTAATGACTATGGAAACTACTGCTTTTGATTAGAATTTAGCCAATTCTTCAAAATAAAAGTTATTTTAATATATACATTTTTTTCAAGATGTATATCTTCATAAGTTAGAAAAATAAAAAAAAAATGTATTTTTGTGGAGTGAAAATAAAAAAAAATATGACAATTTACATATCCCATATTACTCAGAAACAGTTACAGCTGTGCATTGTTGTATATGAATTAAATTCTTTGGCTAGAGAACGATTAAAGTCTATTGTTATTTATCTTAATGTTATGAAATGAAAATAAATGGGTGACCAATAAAGTAATTTTGTGAACTTCTTTTGTACAGAAGCTTACATGTACTTATGGCATTGTTTTGTAGACAAGATTTGAAAGGAAGTTGAGGAGACACCAGGCAAAATACCAAAATGCAAAACACAAAAGACCACCTTCGTGGGGTAAGTTACTCAACTTTGGAAATGTGTACAATTAACAATCCAGTTGTATTCCTGAAGGTCCTGTTTCATGAATTGTCCAGCTTATTTAAACATTACTTTTATAATTGATGATATAAATGCAAATTATGTTTGAAACAAATATCACTTGGAAGTATCCAGACTGATTAATTGAGGTGCCAACTGCATATTTAAGGATAACTTTGGTGGTTTATTATTTACCTCCCTTTTTACAGTGCCGACACAGAAACTTGTCAGACATTTAACCTCGAGTCCTGCTGCTGTAAAGAAAATGTTACGGAAAGCAGAACTTATGGGCATTATAACCCAGGTAAATCCAATCTCATTCTCTTATAACGCTGGATATTCAACATATACCCTATAAGCAGAATTTTTAGTGAGGATTTAATTTTGGCATTTTTAGTGAGGGTGCCGAGATAGCTAAAATTAAATATCACTAAAAATTAATTGTGTTTTATTTGTATAAGCTTCTTTAGTAAGCATTTTTAAATCACTAAAATTACATCTCGCTTAAAATAAAATACCAGTTTTTAAGGACAAATTGCTAAATTTGCGTCACGCTAAAATTTCAACATGTACGGTATTTAATCTTGAAGAGAGAATTTTAGAAATAATAATGATAAATTTATAATTACATGAGCTTGCAGTAGAATTCTTGTAATTCTCTGTGAAGTAATACATAAAGTAATTATCTGTTTTTAGATCTAGCTATAAATGAACCAGTCACTATCAAATTATTTTATTCCAGTCGCACTGTTCATCTAGATATCAATGTACTAATCTCTATCAAATTATTTTATTCCAGTCGCACTGTTCATCTAGATATCAATGTACTAATCTCTATCAAATTATTTCATTCCAGTCCCAACATGTGACCCATGAAAAACAAGAAATAAGGAAGAAATCTTTTATGGTGCCCTCTTTCTCTGTGGAGTTCATCACCCATTTCCTAGGTTAGAACTTAACAAATTTCTTCAGTTTTGTATGTATCTGTTTTTAATATTCTTCAATAAAACATATTCTCAATGTTCTAAATTTTTTTTTTATTTATCTGTCTATCTGTATTGTTCAGGTTCAGTAAGTGAATGTCAAGGGGAATAACTCTTATAGATGTTTGTGTGAAATAATTTTTTTTTCACCTACGATAGAGCGTAACACAAAGATAGAGAATATGAAGACTTGTATGAAGGATATTGTGTCACAGAATGAAAAACTCCAGGAACAGGAAAAGATTCTACGCAGGAAGTATGATCAGGTATTACAATGACACAGAGCTCAGCTGAGTTGTAGGTAACAAAATGAGAGGGATATATTAAAGGTCCTTAACTCTCTGCTCTGGAATACACCCAAGAGTTTGAAGGCATGTTTTTAGCTCTACTGGTCAGAGACCAGAAGAGCTTATGCGATAGTAATGCGTCCGGCGTCCGTCCGTCTGTCTGTCTGTAAACAATTTTTCAAAAACACTACTCCTCCTACAATTTTAGTCTGATTTCAATATAACTTGGCACACAAGTAGACTACACTAAGATACATAGAATAGTGCATCGGTTTTTAATTTCGATGAACGGTGTTGCCATGGTTACTAAAAATAGAATTTTCTGTGAAATTTCTTAAAAACGCTACTCCTCCTACAGTTTTGGTCTGATTTCAATATAACTTGGCACACAAGTAGACTACACTAAGATACATAGAATAGTGCATCGGTTTTTGATTTCGATGAACGGTGTTGCCATGGTTACTAAAAACAGAATTTTCTGTGAAATTCCTTTAAAACGCTACTCCTTCTACAGTTTTGGTCTGATTTCAATATAACTTGGCACACAAGTAGACTACACTAATATAGATAGAATAGTGCATCGGTTTTTGATTTCGATGAACGGTGTTGCCATGGTTACTAAAAATAGAATTTTCTGTGAAATTCCTTTAAAACGCTACTCCTTCTACAGTTTTGGTCTGATTTCAATATAACTTGGCACACAAGTAGACTACATTAAGATACATAGAATAGTGCATCGGTTTTTGATTTCGATGAACGGTGTTGCCATGGTTACTAAAAATAGAATTTTCTGTGAAATTCCTTTAAAACGCTACTCCTTCTACAGTTTTGGTCTGATTTCAATATAACTTGGCACACAAGTAGACTACACTAAGATACATAGAATAGTGCATCGGTTTTTGATTTCGATGAACGGTGTTGCCATGGTTACTAAAAATAGAATTTTCTGTGAAATTCCTTTATAACGCTACTTCTTCTACAGTTTTTGTTTGATTTCAAAATAAGTTGGCACACAAGTAGACTACATAAAGATACATAAAACAGTGCAATGGTTTTTTTGATAAGTACAAACCAGTAGAGCTACAGTCTCGACAGAGACTTCTGGTTGTGGTTTGCCAGATTGGTTGATATTTTATTCAGAATCAACTAATGTTCAGTTTCACTTCAGTATCACAAACACCATTATTTCAAATACCATGGATACATCCAAATGATATTGAAATAGCAATGCTGTATTCTTGAAGTATTTTACCCAGGATCTTGATTCTTCAGAAATACATATCTCAAAGCTTTTTCCTGGTAGATTTGGAGCTTGAGATTATGAAATTTGACTGTATATATATATATATATATACATGTACATGTACAGTAGGGGGACAAAAGTGTTGAGAAAAAAATGGCGTCACGTTTCCAACAAGAGAGACAACTCAAGCGGGAAACCGTCTTGACAGCTGACTTACTAGGACAAAATCACAAAATAACTGACCTTAATACTTAGTAAGATGACCTTTTAATCTGATGACCTGTTGTATTCTTCTTGGAATCGATTGATAAAGATTTTTGACATAATTTACGTTGATGTCCTGCCATATCCTAAGTGTTTGTTGAAAAAGTTCGTCTGCGGAATTTATATTGTGCATCCGTGATTGGAGTTTTCTTTTAATATAAAGCCATACATTTTCTATGATATTTAAGTCTGGAGACTGTGCAGGCCAGCTCATGTTCTTAATAAAGTTTCTGGCAATAAAATCCTGTGTAACACGAGAGCAATGTACGGGGGCGTTATCATCTTGAAAGAGGTAACTTCCTTGTGGGAAATGCCGCACTATAACTGGCCAGAGGTTTGAATCTAAGATGTTAATATATTTTTCTGAATTAATATTCCCTTCCACCCGACACAAAGTTCCGATACCACTGAAGCACAGGCACCCCCACACCAGTTCATTCCCCCCAAGTAGGACTACCCGTTCATCTCCTTCCCTCACCTTTTGACAGATACAAACTACAAAAAATGTCTATAAATATTTCTTTTTCCCTCTTACAATAGTTTAGTGGAACAGACTGCCGGGCAGTGTTGTCTCACTTCCAGATGTTGAACATTTCAAACTGGAAGTGAGCAAATTGAATCACACCAGACCTTAATTGTATTACAGTGTTTTATATCTTTTAACTGTGAATACTGTTTTTCTAAACTTTCTATCTTCACTAATAACTTAATACTGTTCTCTTTTCACCGCATTGAAATTTACTATTCTCTACTTTTTATATCTTTTAATCAGCTGTGCACCCTACTCAAAATTTGAGGGCGAGTAGTAACGAGAGATAAGTAGATGATACTGAATTTGCAGCCATTTGTCGTGGCACTAAGTCCGGTCTCCAACCCTCGCCTGCTTTTTTCCAAATATAAACACAATTATTTTTCTCAACACATATCTGAGATTCATCGCTGAATATAACTTTGGACCACTGAGTTTGTACACCCCACCATCTCTTTTCCCTACACCGTGACAAGCGTTTCTTTTGGTTAATATTTTTAATCACAACTTTTTTCTTAAACACACCTCTAGTGAAACCATTTTCTTTAAGTCTACGTTTTACAGTCTTCTGAGACACAGATGTTGCTCTGTTTTCATTAAATCGCGCTGTAATTTCTCCTAAGGGTGCCCTCCGATCTCTATTAACAATCCTCTGGAGCTTCTGATAATCCCGATCGTCGAAAGAACGAGGTCGACCCGACCTTTGCAAATATTCCACTGATCCTGTGTCGTGATATTTACGTACAATACAGTACACTGAAGCCAGAGACCTATTGACACTTCTTGCAATCGCTGACATTTTTTCTCCGTTTAAGTAAAGTTCCACAATAACTTGTTTCAAGGGTTGTGAGATTTCCTGATGTTTCGTGTCCATTTTGTTACCGAGATAGATCATCAACGAAACTATAGCAGATGACGAAATATATGTCATGCTAGGCCTATAAGTCACTTGTACTGACCTGTTTATATTTCAGGGGGATTTCCAAAATTCCAGCTCTGAACAAAAATACACGACTTTTAATACGCGCGGATCTATGATTTATTCTAGTGACGCCATTTTTTTCTCAACACTTTTGTCCCCCTACTGTAGTTCAAATCATGTTCAGATTTAGTAGAATTAGATTTTTGTTCCTGCAACCTTGTACAATATCAGTATGTATCATGGTATATATGAATTTGTTATATTACCCATCATCTTGTATTTTGGTTTGTAGTTGTATTCTGATGTGGAGGGACTGAGACACTGCGCCAATGAAAAAAGAAAAACGGGGGAGAAGTTGTGGAATCTGCTGAATGACTTATCTGACAAGGTGAGGAGGGGCTCCCATTTCTCTTATGTTTCTTTTTTATTTCAAGAAAGTTTAAATGTGGATCATCATGATTGGAAAAAGACTTCTTAAATAATGTTACCCATGGTCTCGAATATGACTTAACATTTTTCTGCTCCTTAATATGGACTTCGTGTTATTTAATGTTCATTTAAAATTGGAGAATGTATGAAATAAGTGAAAATAAGTTCACAAATAAAATTTGATTTTTTTTTGTAAACAGAAGTTTCCTATCCCTGAAGATTTTAGAGTTCGGAAGCCATCCCCGTCTCGAGTGATCAGTCGTAAGAACAGCGTAACACCAGCTGTGATACACCAGTAAGTATAGACTCTCTATAAAGGTGTCCAGTAATAGTGGACAACGTCTGAAACCCTTCTATATGAACCGGTGTTTTCTTACTAGTTGAACTTTTTGACTTAGGACCTGTGATATGGACTTTTGACATTTGTCTAGGTGTGCATTGTGCCATAAGACCAATAACCAGCATTTCCTGGCCCACTGTGACAACTGTAAGGAGTACTACCACCTGGGATGTCTGGATCCACCCCTCACACGCATGCCAAAGAAAACCAAGATCATGGGCTGGTAAGGGGAGATTCCTTAGTTCAAATTAAGTCAAGTTTCAGGACATCAGAAAAGCACACCAGCAAAGAGTGAAATTAAGTGCTTTTATATTCAATATGAACTGATTTCATTTTGTTTCTCAATAAATATGAACTTATAATTTTGATTAAGGTATTCTGAATGTTATTAAAGATTGAGTTTTTAATTGTTTCTCTCTATACTTATAAGTCAGGTTGCACAGTCGTGATCATTTGTACATCCCATGTAATAGGGCTTCTCTATTTCATTACTAGGCAGTGTTCCGAATGTACTAAATCCAGCAGTGGGGAATCAGAAGTAGAAACCAAAGATCTAGATGCCCCTCGCAAACTCCGTGAAAAGATTAAGGAGCCCACAAAGTGGTCTCCTGATATGAAATTCAAATTTGAATTTGAAAAGGTAATGATATTTGTCAAAAATAATTATAAATATTTTGGTAGATATTACAATCTCAAATTTAAGTTTAATGATTTCCATGTATAAATTAAATTTATACAGAAAAAACTTGGATTAGGCCATGCAAAGTTAATTACTTGGTTCTCAGGCCTTTTTTTCAAGAAATATGATGAGGGAGGGAGACATTTTTTTTTTCTTTTTTATTGCCCCCAAAACATGATGAGGCAGCTTTTTACATTGTACAAAACCTCAAAAAATGATGAGGGAGGTGATTTGGTGTTTATATTTTATTGATTTAGCAATAAAAAGGGTCAATGAGGCACCCTTGGAAGAGATGAGGGAGGGCCTGAGAACCAAGAAATTAATTTTTTTTTGCCTTACAGTGAAAGTAAGTCTGTAATGCAAAAGAGATTATTTGCAGGAAGATTGAAGATATGAAATAAATGAAACACACTAATGCATATATAGTGTTTGAGCTGGTGAATGTAAAATTTTATGCTGTGTATGTTCAGTTGACAAAGTACAATATGAAGGCAAAGAAAAGAAAGAAGAAGAAGAAGCCAGGAAAACAGGGAGAGGAAAATGATGAAGAAACCAAGGTATATAAATTATAACATTGACAAGGAATCTGGAGGAACCGTTCTGTTAAATCAGATAAATATCCTAGGTCTTACATTTAATGTATTAAAGAGAGAAGAAATACTCAAAATACATGTATAAATGTTGACTTTCATTTCAGCCAAAGAAGCAAAGACAGTCCGTGGGGTCGGCCAATAAGAAGGCTAAAGTGGACGAGATTCCAGAGGGCATGACGTGTGCTGTGTGCAGTAAGCCTGGGGATAGCTCCGGCATGGTCAAGTAAGGCTCCCATTAAATACATGTATAATCATAAATAAGTACCTGTATAACATAAAATATGGTAATCAATTTGTGAATTTTACCACGGTCAATCAAGCAAAGTGACACGCTGTTATTTGAACAAGAGTACAAATATGTACAATGTAGATCTATATACTTTGTAGCTGAAATCTTTTAGATCGGTGAACTAAGAAGTAAAACCATAGTAGGTTAAGATGTTATTTTAATTTAAAAGAAAACAAACTGACAGTTGGCATTTAAGGTACATTGTACCATCCAATGACAAAGCAAACAGATTTACTTGTGAATTGCTGTTTGTAGGTGTGATGAATGTAAATTGTGTTACCACTTTGGATGCCTGGATCCACCCATGAAGAAGACCCCTAAACAGAGGGGTTATTCCTGGCACTGTGAAGCATGTGACCCCTCAAACAGCTCAGTAAGTACAGTGTAGATGTTGAAAATTCTTCAAGATTTAAATGTGATGTTTATGTTAAATTTGGCTATTACAGTATAGTATATGTACATGTTCACTTAACTATGTCAAAGGCTCAAATGAGGTTCTCTGCTTAAAATCAAGAATTGCTGGTTCAAATTTAATCAAACACAGGGCAGGGTATTTTGTTCGAATCATAGCCCTCCAGATAGGGTTTACATGTATCTCAATAAGTGATCAAAGTTTCACATGGGAATAACATCGGAAAAAATATTTAAAAATCCCAAATATTAAAAGTTCTATGAATTTGCAAACATCCTTTTGGTCTCTCGTAGGAGGGTAGGATGAGGTCAAAACAGGGGAAAATAGGCCAACATCAAAAAAAAAAAATAAAAAATCTTATATTAAGTAGCAGAGTCTTGATTGGTCTTGTTGATGTGCAGGCATCTTCGTGTAGTGCAGAACCGATTTATTCAAATGGTGACCCCTGGGGGTAGGGTAGGTGATATTAGGGGGATGGAAACTTTAGATTGGAGTATAATTACTGAAGGTTATGATTTTTTTGTTGCAGGAAGAAGATGAAGAGGTAGTGATCAATAAACCAGAGGATGAGTGATTGTGTGTGAACTGATGAGACTGTGAAGTTTACAGGGAGACTATCATTGTGTTGTCAGTTCAACTAGAACAAGTCATTAAAGGTTGTGTTCAAAGAGCATTCAATCGGTCAGGCTGTTTCTCTGTAACAATAAAATTGTATGAAAAGAATTGTGAGAAATTTAATGCAGGACATGTTTTTCTTCAATTTGTTATTACAGTTAATCATTGTTTGGACTCTTGAGATCATAAATAGGGCATTTACTGAAATTAAGGTTTTTTTTTTTTTAAAGAAACAGATACTTATTAAAATGTAGATTTTTCATTTAAGTTTTTGTTTCCCAGTGAGATAGAAACAATATTAAGCAGGTTTTTTTCCCCACACATGCTTATTCTGGAACTTATATGTAAAAATCAAATTCATTAAAACTTACAAATAATTTTTTTTTCTAGATTTCTTTTCAATATATTTAATATGAAAGGTAGATTTAAAAAAATGAAAGCATTGTATGTGTACCCCTTGTATATGAACATTTTGTATGTTGAGAAATAAATTGCAGATACTCTAAATTTACAAAATTTATTTCTTTTGTTACATTTATACAAATTAAATAATGAGTATCCCTGAATATCCCTTGTTTATAAATTCAGCAGTGATACTGTGTCAGATGATTAATATTAAAATTATATACAAGTATGCCCGGTAATAATAAAAACTTTATATACAGATATGCTTCTTTTCCTCCAGTGATCTGATGTAAACATGTAAAAAAAAAATATACATAACCATGGCAATGAGATTTTTAAAAGTAAATTAGTCTTTGGAGAATGAATCCAATCAAAAATACAATTTTTCCACGTTCTATATAGTGATTTGCTGAATTATGCCTATGGCTTCATACAATGAGTGTACATAAAAAAAGATGAAGCAACGGTTTGTACAATGAAGGAATGAATGGAAAGGATATATTAAAATCATGCATATACATTATTACATGTACTTTCAGTTTGCACCTGTTTATACACTTGCTCTACATGAATATGTCATATCAAAGCAGTTTGTAGAAACGAATATAAAAAGAGTCGCTGAATATGTGATTCCTTTGTGATATATACACTAGCAGTTTTGATGTTTGTATGAAGGCATTCATCCAAAGCAGATGAGGAAGGAAGTCGCGATGGATCCGAGTCCACCCACGAGACTGAAGTAGAAACTCCAGGAGAGTTCCGCTGTAGATCCCGGCATGTGTCGCGCTCGGAGGGTGTTCTTCAGGGACGCGAATATGATACAGGAAACCACGATCAAAACCCCTGTAGGAAAGAAAAGTCAACCATTGATAACAATCGGAATGATCAACTGATTCTGTAAAATGGTGAAATATATATATTTAAATATACAGTATATAAAATGTATTAACTATCTGTGTTGTTTTCATGGGGGGTTAGACCTTGAATTTGACTGATAGACAAATGAAAGTTTCTTTGGATCATTGTGTAAGTATAAGAGGAGAGGGAGTATCTTTGAAGTCGTTGACTGCTTATTTCTACAGATTGATACTGACCACACAGGATACAGAGGGTGACTAGGAGTCTCTTGACCCCCTTCTTCCCCTGGAGTGGAGTTCTAAACATGTAGGCCCCGATCAGGACAACAGTTGTCAGCAGGCCCACGAATCCCATAGCCTCCATTGTCTGAATCGTACGGAACCAATCTGAAACAAGATATTCAGAAATTAATTTTACAGTTTAACAATAGGTGTACCTTAAACTTACTTACTTATCCTCTCCATGCCCCGGAGGATGCATGAGGCTGTATGTATGTACCAAAATGATGTTACAAGTTTACTTTGAACATTGTATTAAAAAACTCACAATTTTTAAATTTTTATGAGAGAAAAAAGTGCATCATTGGCTGTTAATTATGAGTTTAATGATTGGCCTTGGTAAAAATTAACCACTCACGGGACACCTGGAAATCCTCCCAGACAAATCCGGCACACTTGTAGTCATGGTAACCAATGGACAGGTCCGCACATTTCTCCCACAGTCCCGAGTACTCGATGATGCCATATTCCGCACTTACAGATATCACCCAGTGTGACGAGGCAAATCCTATTAAAATAGTCCTGGGAGTTTAATGGTAACCAGAGGCAATCAAGCTGTGTGTCCTGGACATTAAATCTTTTTATATGATTTTATTTACATCTTGATTGCCTTGAATTATTAATAAAAAGTATTTAAAGTGGGAAAAAAGCATGCATAATCAAACCAGAGACATATAAACAATATTTTTTTCCCTGGTTATTGAAACAGATCATATTTTATCAAAATCAAACCCTTAATTTATTGTTTCTAAGCTTCCTTTTGTGCTAGAATCAAATGAATAGTAGTTTTCTCATCTTATTAACTGTTTATTTCATTAATGTTGTTATTTGAGTATTCACTTCCGGATTCGGATGCTATATAAATATGATGAAAAAAACAATAGAATATTCATACCTATCAGCTGAAACAAAGTTGTTACAATTAAAACTATCGTTGCAATCTTCGTCAGCAGTGAAACTTCATATTCTTCTTCTGGGCGTCCCATTTTAAATCAATGATCTGCCTTTGTGTTTTGTTGACGGTTTCTGCACAAGTAATCTGTCTGGTATCAATTTACCTGTAATTTAAGGTATCACCTGGGTTGTTTGATGTCCAGTCTCCTTATATAGACAATAATAAAATTATTTACAAACGATAACACTTTTGTATTTCCCCTAAAATGTTTTTAAAATTTGAAATATTTTGGCTACATTTTATACAGGTGCGTCATTAAGCGTCTTAACGATACCGATTACAGGTGAGAAAGTCTTGATCACCAGAGCGCTTTAGAGTTGAAAGAGAAAGGGGTGGGGGGTCTGAATTAGGTGATCACAGAAATACTAAGTAATCTTATTTTTCATAATTTTTAATCTAGAAATAATTTAAAAAAAAAAAAGAATCTTCATCAACTGCATCAACTGCACCAAGGACTCATTTAATTCTTACAAGCCTGCAAGTTTTTTTTGGAATGTGATTATAAATAAATTGATTGTTTTATTCAGTGTTAATCAGTCAAAAATCACATTGAAAGACTTACAGCCTAAGTGTACTCAAGCATTTTGTTTTTGTGACGGCTGTATAATAATATATATAAACATATACAGAATATATACATGTATGTACCTGTGATACAATTCATATCTGTTAAATTATCGGTTAGATAAACTATAAAGATAAGGGGAACTTTTTAAACTAAAACTAGAGATGGGGAGCGATCATGGGATGTTATTTTAGTTTTCTATTTCTATTTCAGTGTGTTTTACTTGGGGGTTTCTCAACTGACAAACTTCATTTCTCAACTGACAAACTTCATTCCGTTGCTAGGCTACAAAGACAGGTATCTCTCTCTCTCTGTGGTTTTATCGATATTGTCAGATTTATTGAGCAGGTAATCTGTAAATCAGGTAAGTCTTTTTGAATTTATATTCTAGAATTATGCATGTATCCAATGGGGACCAGATACCCCATTTCCCCGCCTTAATGTTAAAGTGTTCAGGGTTTAATTCATACAAAACCTTGGACCCCCTTTAAGGAGTACGCATTTATTGCACTGAAAGCTTATAAAATTTGATGCTTTCCTTGTGAACATTTTACAAAACTGTTAAAAATATATTTTGTATAATAATATATTTTTTTTTCTGTCTATATAATTATATATATGTTACGGTCAAACAATTAATTTTTGAGTAGGTCTTCAATATTTTTTTTTTTCAATTTCTTGTGACCCCTAGCTGTTACTATATAGATTTTTTTAATTAATAAGCGAATTCAAAGGACTGTGGTCCCCCGCTTTCGATGTCTTAGTAGATGAATGTCATTATTTATTGCATTTTGTGTTAAATATGAACATTCTATCATAGTTCATTCAAAAGTAATCACCAAAGTTAACTTTTTTGAAAATTAGATCAAACATGAAAGTCAAGGTCAAGGTTGAAAAAAATCATAAAATGCTCGAAAACTTCTTGTCATAGATAATGCACATGTCAAATATGAAAGCCCTATCTCTTCTCAATCAAAAGTTACAAGGAAAAATAACATTTTTGAAAAGTAGGAAATAGGTCAAACGTCAAGGTCACAGGCTAAAAAAAAATATATGTATAGTATATTTAGAAAGGTTTTACCACAGGTAATATACATGTATAATAATATGAACGATCTATCTTTCCGCTTTAAAAAGCTGTGACCAATTTGAAGTAATGTTAAAATTGCATTGAAAAGTAGGATACACTTGAAGGCTAAGATCCCGGGGGCAAAAATCATAGTATATTTGGAAACGCCTTTGTATAGACAATATACAATTAAAATATAAAAGCCCTATCTCTTCTTATTCAAAAGTTATGACCAAGGTTAAAGTTTTTGTGACAGACAGACCGACTGACAGAAGAAAGAAATGAAATGTCCCCTCGCTTTCGCGAAAGCTTTATGTAATCAACTCATTGATCCAACACACATTGTGGGTTTCCCATAGCAAAACATGGACATTGCCATTCATTCTATTATATATAGAAGGGTACCCATGCATCTCTAATCCGCAACTCATACACTTACTTATCCTCTCCGTGCCCCGGAGGACGCATGGGGTCGTTCAAATAAGAACACCACTTACGGCGGTCACTGGCAACAACTTGCCCCTCCCTCCAAATGTTCCAGCCCAGTTCTTCCCTTTCTCTCTCAACAGAGCGTCGCCAGGTGTTCTTTGGCCGTCCTCTTCGTCTCTTTCCCTCAGGGGCCCATGTGAGAACTGTTCTAATGTGTGAGTTCTCTTCCCTTCGGAGGATGTGGCCTATCCATCCCCATCTCTTTCCTTTGATGGTCCTTGATAGAGGTATGGATCTTGCTCTTTCATACAGTTGTTGGTTAGTTATCTTTTCAGGCCAGTGTATTTTTAGGACCCTCCTAAGGCATTTTCGATGGAAACGTAATAAGTTTTTCGTCGTCTTTTTCTGTTGTTCTCCATAGTTCAGCGCAATACAGCAACACAAACAGAACATTTGTGTTGAAGATCTTAAGTTTGGTCTTTGTGCTGTATTGTGCTGACCTCCATGCATACATTGGCAAGGGCTGCAAGGCGGTCCTGGCTCACCCTAGCCTTCTCCCAATATCTGTCTCAGTTCCTCCGGTCTTGTCCATTGTGGCACCCAGGTAGAGAAATGTTTCGACCTCTTCTATTTCTTTATCATTTATCCTGATGGCATCCGCCTCCTTTCCATTTACTCTCATGCTTTTTGTTTTCTCAACATTAATTTTTAGGCCTGTATATTCCGCAACATCGTGTAATCTACTGGTCTTTTCTTGCATGTTGCTGTGTTTGCTGGAAATAAGTGCAAGGTCGTCTACATAATCCAGGTCTTTAATATTGACATAAATTTCCAACGTATGCCTCTCTTCTTATTGTTGGTATTTCTTATAATCCAGTCAACCACAATGAAGAACAGGAACCCCAACAGAACACAACCCTGTCTCACTCCTGTCTGTACTTTGAACCAGTCTGTTGTTCTTCCATTCTCTATAACACAACTAGAACTTCCATAGTATAATTTCTTGACGATGTCCACATATAAGTCAGGAATTCCATACTGCCTTCGTATGTCCCACAGTTTCTTATTATGCTGTCAAAGGCTTTTTTTAAAGTCTATGAAACTTATGTACAGTGGTGCTTGCCACTCTATAGATTGTTCTAAAATATTTCTCAGAATCTCTGTTCTTATGTTCCTCTTCCTCTTCGATATGCAGCTTGCTCTGGTCTTCATCTGTCCTCTAGTACATCTCTAATTCGATCATTCTTCTGCAAAGTACTTTGATGGCAAGGATAGTAGTGATATTCCTCTATAGTTGTCAGATCTCCTTTCTTAGGTATTTTGACAATGAGCGAGTTCCGCATTGATGTTACGAGGGTTGTCCAAAAAGTTCGTGGACAATGGCGTTTTTGTGAAAATAAATGGTTCTATATAAATCTGTTGTACATCAAAATATTTCTTATGAAAAAACAAGTCAGAATGATTTAATTTTTATCGATGGAACGTAATAATCTTGTAAAAATCGGTGTCTTTAAAGATTTCAGATAGTGCGCACGGACCAAAGCTAAAATGACATAAACTCTGATATAAAGTGTTCGGATTAAAATGATTATTTTCTAAATAAAACAAGTCAAAAATTGATAAAAATTTTATGTAACACAAATAAAAAGGCTATAATCATTTTTTGATATCTCAATTTTCGGTTACTACATACAGAGTGGAATAAATGAACTAAAACCCTAACGAATATGTGTCAAAACTCGACAAAAAAGCGACGTCGGCCGTCGGCAAGGGGCAGCGTCCGATCCGAGATATAAGTTTTAATATAGTTGAAATGGCGTAAGAGACAAAATATTTGTTTAAACAACTCAAACTTATTGAAATATATTAAGTGTATCGATTTGAGATTTGTATATACGGTTTTTCAACGGTGTGTACAAATTCGAAGACACTACAAGAATTTAAAACACATGCAATTTACTGAAAAAGGAGATTTCTATTCATGACGTTGTTATAAGTCTGTGCAGTTTGTGTATACAAACTGCTTATTTAGATGATGCTCGTAAATTTTTGTGCATCGTTTTGAATTTTAAAAATTAAATAAATTATTATCTATACTTAAAAATCATTGCTAGCACTTGGAAGTGCGGTGCGCCTTAAAAAAGAAATGCAGTGTGTGTCCATGAGAATGTGTTAAGTCAAAATCCAAAATTTTGACGTTAAAATAAAGTTAGCTTAACGTCAGACTGGTCCGTGCGCACAATCTGCGATCTTTAAAGACCCCGATTTTTTTACAAAAATATTAAGCTTCATCAATTAAAATTAAATCATTCTGACTTGGTTTTCCATAGGAAATATTTTGATATACAATAGATGCATATAGAACCATTTATTTTAACAAAAACGTCATTGTCCACGAACTTTTTGGACAACCCTCGTATCTATGCCGGGACTCTTTACATTCTTTATTTTTTGGATTGTTTTTTTTTTGACCTCTTCCTCTCTTATTGCAGCCCGGAGGACCGGGCTGCTCTATACATATAAGTTTAAGTGTTGGTGTATGGTGATTGGGGTGGGAGAAGTTATTCAGAATTAAAGGTTTTCTAAACATTGAAAATATTGTTAATCAGAATGTTCTTTCCCTTTCTAAATTACGAGACACATAATATATTTACTTCTATAAAATGAATATGTAAAAATAAATATGTTTTACATGTTTAATATATAAAGTTGCTTATCATATACAATCGAAAAAACGACAGATCCCTTTTTTTAGAATATTGAATTTTACTTCTCGCATAAAAACGCACTCTGCGTAGTTCCTGTTTTATATTCTAAAATTGAAAATTAATACATTTTTGAATATAGGTGATACATGTGTCTAACTTCAATTTAAATTTTATGCAGCCAACATTTACATGAGGAATTGATCAAGTTTAAAATGGTATCGTTTTTGTTTGATTTTTATCCGACTGTAAGTTTTCAAAATACTAGCGACTATCGTCGCCATCAATTAGACGCATGCCGTTTCACACATACCAAAGCGGTTTGATGATCAAGACTCATTTCCATTGCTTACTTTATATATTTCCCGGGCGACAATTGATGGTTACATCAATGTTTACTTGTTGGTGTTGTGTCAATTTCATCAATTCTGTTCTCTTGGATGGTGCATTCTTCAGCTAATTCTGTTGTTTCTGTTGGGACATCAAAGACCTCTTCAAAATGCTCTTTCCATCGATCTCTTCAATATTTTTCCATCCTCAATTATTAGTTCACCATTCTTGGACCTTATGCCGCTTGTCTTGTTTCTTTTATTCCCACAAAGCTGCTTGGTCAGTGGGTAAATTTCGCTCAGACGGTTTGTATTTGTTGCATTCTCTGTTTGGTTAGCTATATTTTCCAGATTTTTCCTTTTATCAGCTCCTGCTCTTCTTTTCACTTCCTTGTCTTCGGTCTTACATTCTTCTCTCTTGATTTCCTTTATTCTCTCTGAATTTGATCTTCCTATTTCTACCTTTAGTTTTTTTAGCCAGTCTTTGTGTTTCCTTTTCTTCTGGCCCAAGATCTTTTCTGCTGTTTCATTATATACTTTTTTAACACCAATCGGCAAATCCTCAGCTGACTCCGCTACGCTCCATTCACACCTCTGATGTGATAGGTGGAGTAATACGCATCAAGTCGATACATTTCTCCGCCGTAAACTGCCTTGTCACTCATTTCATATTTCGCTCTGCCTAAAGTTCTTCGAAAAGGTTTCTTTATTTGTGTAATTCCTCATGTTAGTTACAACGATATGTTAGTAGTCTTTGAAAGCCAGTACACAGTGTTGGGCGTGCAACAAAGTAACTCGGATTTCAAAAGTGTTACATTTGAATGAAATTCAAATACGATCACATGACTGAATCAGCAAGATGGTAGATCACTGTTGACGTCCGAGGTTAGTGTGCGAGGTACGTACGAGCCACCCGAGGAGCTCCGAGTGCTTTAACAAGGGTTCATTTTCATTGATTGTGTTTTCATCATCAGCCAGTTGCTGAAACCTATTTCTTAATTCAATTTGGAATCCTTTGCTTATTCTTGGATCTTTCAGCTTGTTGACATTGTACATCTTCCTGTTGCTTTCCTTTGGCTTTAAGTTTCTGCAGAGCTTCATCTTTACTTTAGCCAGTACTAGATGGTGATCTGAATTGGCATCTGCACCACGCATAACCTGTACGTCACATACAGATTTTCTGTATCTGCCATTCACCATTACACGGCCAATTTGGTTCTTATCTCTTCCATTAGGTGACTCCCATGTAAGCTTGTGTATGTCAAGGTGCTTAAAGAGGGTTCCGCAGATGATTAAGTTATTAAGAACACACATTTCTGATAACCTCATGTCGTTTTCTTTCATATATAGTCCCAATGCCCTCTTGTCCTATGACTCTTTCCGATCCTTCATTCGACTTTCCAACTTTTGCATTTGCATCACCCATTACCATCAGTATATCATGATTAGACACTTTTGCAATTTCTCTTTGTAGCTGTTCGTAGAAGGTGTCCTTATCCGCTTCGTCTGCTTCTTTTGTTGGGCTATATAATTGTTTTATTGTTAGCTCAGCGCAGCGGGAGGAAAAATGTGCGCTGATGATTTTATCATTAACAATATTCCATCCCATCAAGCTTTGTCGGCTTTTCCTGCCAAGTATAAGTCCTACTCCTCTATGATGTCCTTCAGCTCCAGAGTACAAGATGGTCTCTCCAGAGGTTGTCTTTAGTTCACTAAAACCTGTCCATCTAACTGCAATTAGTCCCATTTTGTCCAACTTATATCTGTTAAACTGTCTTACGATGTTAGCTGTTTTTCCAATCTGGAACATTGATCTTACGTTCCAACATCAGATCTTGGTGATGTTTTTAGGTGTTTTATGGATGGTATCTGTGTTCCTTTCAGGCCATTAGGGTCCTCTGAGCTTTTCCTAATTGCCGTCATTCTCTCGAATTCCCAATGAAGGTAATCCTCATCTGGAATCTCGTATGTCGCATTTGCCCTTCCTTCAATATTTCTAATTGTTGTAACGATTTCCGTAATCAATTCTTTTATGGAAGGAGGTGATTAGCTTCAAGTCCAACCTCCAAGTTTATGTCGTGGGGGGGGGGGGGCAACATAGTAGTTGCTAACGGTCTCCTACTTAATCCGGATTGTAGTAAGTTTTCTTCCCTAGATGAGTTGCCAACCAAGGCTTTCGAGCCTCATCTTCCCCTGCGCCCTTGCGAAGTTAGCCTGGGCCGAAAGGTACCCAGTATCCGTCTGCTTCCACGAGGAGGCATTGCATAGACTTGTTGAGGAGAGGCTATGTACTGGCAGAGGAAGACCTACAAATTGCTTCCCTTTTCGCATTGCTGCCAGCGGTGAGGGCTGAAAGCGAGAGGTGACAAGCACACAGACACCAACACCAACACACTAGACGCATCACACAAAATTTAGCAGAACAACTTCTCATACCACTGATTAAATTTTTATGATACTTTCACAGATCTTTATTACATAATGCCATTGTGAACTTGCTATCTTAATTTTTGATCTGACACTTATTTTGGGTCTCCCAGACTTTGCCATTATAATCATATGGGGGAGGGGGGTGTATCATGAAGCGAACTTAGTGCACACAGTACCCCTGATTCTCTTTTTGACAGGCGGATCTAGTCCTGATTGAGGTTCTCCAGGCACGTGGAGATGGATCAGACATTTCGTTTACTATAGATTCCACCGTGTCCTATGTTGTTGTAGAAATACAGAATGTCAGACATGAGCAGAACTGTACACTAAAGGATCCACACGGTATTGTGCAAATCAAACCCAACATTTATTTTGCAGCTTTTGAAGAAATACTAGTAATATAATGTCTGTTGATATTCTTGTTTCATCAACTTGTTTGTCAATAACTTACTGCGTTTTAGAAATTGTTCATACCTAGAGCATGAATCAACTGCGAGATATAAACTCCGTATGCATGTAGGTGATGAAGGTACTGTATATTGCTGCATTAGTACGGAAAGTTGACGATTGAAACAAATTCATCACGTTTATTGTAAAGCTTGGTTGTTAGATTACCATCAACGTCTTTTTCAAGTAAAATATCCAAACATGAAACAGATGTGACAGACTATGTAGTATCTTTTATTTCAAGGTCACCTGGATATATCGTGTCGACTGAATGGAATTTGCCATTGTTGATTAATAATACGTCATCGATATATAAAATGTCGAGTTGGAGACCACAGCAAATGTTTTCTCTTCATGTATAAAAGAATCAAATGAAAACAAAAAAGGCCAGCTAATAATGTGACGCTAGTGATATCCTTAGGAATTCCTACAGATTAGGAAGACGTGGTCTTCAAAAACCACATAGATATTGTCAACAAGAAACTCAATCGTCTTTTAGTATCAACTGTAGAGTACTTGTGTGTACAATCAGAATGTTTTTACAAAATAATTTTGTAAATGACTAATGACAAGGTACTCAGTAAGTTATATTTACGAGTTTCATTTTTATGGTAAATGCAGCTGTCTATGATGTCAACTAAAGCAATTCTCCATATATCAAAATAAATTGTTTTTGTTACTAGTGATTTTTAATGTTTGTCCTCAGATTCTGTCGTCATAGCAACAGATGACAATGAATCAAGTGGGTACAAAAAGAGAGCTTCCGAAAGGACTCCAAATGCAGGTAAATAGATACACGTATACATGTAGTTAACAAATTACGCTGTTTCTGTGTTATGAAAATAAACGTAAAATAAACAAGTAATGATAAATTAAGAAGAATAATACTGAGTAATTAAAGTAGAACCATCAACAATCCCCAATGACATAAAGTATTTAAGTTTCTATGAAATAATACCTTCTGTTTATACAGGAGAGTGGTCAGTGACGTGCTCGGGCGAGCAGACGTACACCGTATTTGTCTGGGGTCTGAGTGACGTCACGTTCCAAGTCCAGTTTATGGATCTTTCTGACAATCCCACTGACGGAGACCCGTTACAGGGTATTGTATTTTCCTTTTCTTTTTTGATTAACCTGAACCAAAGGTTTTTGAGAACAGGAAAGTCCCCGTGCAATGCTGTTCCAATACAAACGTCCACATGCAATATAAAACCCAGCACAAACGTCTCCCTTGCAATGTTGATCCATGTCCCAAGCAATGTTGATTCAATACAAACGGTCCTGTGCAATACTGATCCACACACATACTTCCCAATGCATTGTTGTTCAAACTATGAAGGTACCCGTGCAATGCAAGACAAACGTCTTAGTGCAATGTTGAGCCAATGCAAACATCCTCATGCAATGTTGAGAGGATTGTTTGCAATGCAATGTTGATCCAACACAAATGTCCCACTGTCATCTTGACTTTTTGTCTGCAATAGCGTAGTCATTGACAAGTCAGGGTCCACAACAGAGGATTGGGTTCAATATTTTCGTAGGAAGGCATGTGCATTCATGTTTAATATACTCAGTACTAGTAGTTAGATATTTTTCCCAAACTTAATCTCATGGTCTACAACGGGCCACTTAAAAGGTTCAGTATTTGTAGGAACAGAAAAAAAAGAAAACTTTTCACCTATTGATGATTGTGGCCACTGGAATTTTTGTTTTATGATATGTTACCTTTAACAAATCAGTTATGTGGTATTGGAAATTCTTTTAATTGTATATAAATTGTAGCAACTGGTTAAACGTTATGCATAATTCTGAATATTTAAAAAAAAACAGCAATATTTTAGACAGCAATGTTACCCTTGGTGTTGAGGTGTCTGGAAGAGAATATCTACAGTTGGTTTCCAGTGTTGGGATTATTTGCCTGAACGGGTTTTCTGATATTTACAATGTGTCGACATTAGGCGCTGGACGACAACACAGTTTTTACGAAGTTGTCATTACTGTCCCAGATCAGGTGAGTTGTTTTATTCTCCGACTGGTAAACACGTACTTATCTATGCTCTTTCAGGCTTTGTGTTGTTATATGTATATAATTATATATATCAATGTTCTTTATTCTGTTGTCTTGGCTTCTTGGCTCTTGGTTAAAGGTTCAGTTCCAAAGATATCTTGTTTGTTATTTCTAGATATTAAGGTTTGAGACTTTACAAGGAAAAACCATTTCTTTGATTCCTCTTACCGTGGTTATTTGATGTTTTAGGCCTTCCGAGTCGGTCTGATAGCTAGAGACAAAGAGAACAACATCGTCCATAGACAGAGCTCTGTGATTCTACCCAAAACATTTACCGTGTCAATTTCACAAATTACGAAAGGTATGGTATTGCTGATATAGGACATTTTCACTAATTGTTCTGTCTTCGATCTTTCGAATGCTAACTCTTTGTCTGATGAGATATGCAGCATATACTTCACTATTTGACAACTGGAGTGAGACAGTGAGTCTTAGCCAACTGACCGTCTACAACACACACAACACTTCAAGGCAGTATGCGAAAAAGCGAGAGTAAATAACAAACATACTTAGCAATCTTTCAATGCGAATCATCGATAAATATTAGTAATTAACTGTTTTGTAGATACTTCACCAGGCAGTAACGTCGTGTTTCTCTATAGTTTATATAACAACCAAGACAGGAATCAAACCCTCAATATACGAGTCCTATTGGATTCATTTAATCCAAGTGTAAGTTTTGATGGTGTATAGTTTTTTAAGAGAAGAAGAACATTCATATGGTATAATAATTTGTGCCATATTTTAAGTATATGTCGGACCAAGATTAAAAATTATTATAAGAGGTTAAATTTCTGAAAAGAATTCGAAGTTTTATGATAAACACGATGTGATTTCACCATCTATAATAGCATTGTTTTTAATAACTAGACGTGAACAACTCAATGTACTGAAACTACAGGCTTATAAAAACCCAGTGATTATGGCAATATTTGAAGAATCTATTTACTAATGAACATAATATATATTCATTTTGCAATTTTCAAACAAGGAGTTTGCTAGCAATGCCACGTCAGGGAGTGAAGTTCAAATCCCTTCTCACACCAAACAATATGGAGCCTTTGATGTCACGATATCTCCTCAATCCTCTGTTGGGTCCACTTGGTATGTCCTTGTAATTTGTTAATTGTTACTGTAGAAGCTTAGATTATCAGCAAACCAGTTTGTTTGAGTTTGTCACACGACGGATGTGACTGGTCGACAGGGGATGCTTTCTCCTCCATGTCATCTGATCCCACCTCTTGAATTTCCAGGGATTCGTGTTTATGTTTTCTTCACAGATTTGTATTGTTTAAGATTATTTGAAATCGATGGAAATGTTCGTTATATTAGTCTTTTTCATTTAAGCATTATCGCAATCCAACATATGTGTCCATTTTATTTCCACAAACAGGATGGACACACAATTAACCCGTGCATGGCTTTGCGACGATGAAGTGTGCGTTGATATGTGATGGCTAAATTGATGTTTTTAAATGGGCGCGCATAAGACATCCAATATAGATTTGCATCTTATATTTTTTTATTTTGAAAGTGTTTGCCATCGCACTTTTACCATGCATACATTTTGAAACTGATACTGATCATTTTGTTACTGTTTGACCCTTCTGTCCTCTAAAACGTAAAATTGACATGGCATGATGTCCATTCTTCTTTAAAACTCATTGCAATTAGTTATTGTTTGAATATTTTCTGATTTTTATCAAACAAATAATGAATACTATTTGCATTTATAAAATGCACTGTAAATCATAAAGTTTGTGGGTACATATACTTTGGGTATCACACGAATAAGGAACTGATTTATGATGGTCACATAAACTCTAGATCTGTCATAAACGCGATATGTAAATATAAAAAAAGGAAATCATTTGAGGTAACTGCAAAGATTGGTTAAATTGACTGGTGAAGAGTATTGATATGCTCTTTTGTTTTAAGAACAAATATTCCGAAAAACTGACGCAGAAAATCAATCAGACTAAATATATTTGAAACTTCATATCTGTCATCTTAATTAGATAAAGCTTAACTGACAATGTGCATTAAAAACTCACAAACTAAAGTGCGATTTTTACCGATATTTTTGGCCTTTTAATAAAACAGAAGATAGAAGATCACGCAATAGCATTTAGTTTCTGTCACACCAAATGCAAATAGCTTATTGCAAGGATTCCAAATATTTTTGCCATCGATCGGTCATTATATCACGCAATCCGGCTGTCAGTCACCGGCTCTACTTAACTCCATTTTATGAATAAAAAAATGAATATAAAGGATGTGGAAATCCTCTTACTCAAATTGGAAATAATGAGATTTTGAAAAATAGAAAATGTTTTTTTCAGAATCGTTTTGTAGAAAAACCATCGTTTAAAGCTTTGTGAAAAGATTGCCTAATCTAAGACTGCGAAATTCTGTGCTTCTTTTTGTTTTCTAAATATTTTTTGATTATTAACGAAAATTGAGGAAAATATTCCTCGTTGGCAGTGATCAATTTACACAATCATAAATTAAACATTAAATACTAGTAATGATTTTCATCATGTACAACATTGAAAGTGCATAGTAGTAGAAATAAATTATTTTACTCATCATATACATGAAAAAAAAATTCTTTTAAGGGATGTTTATCGTGAATTAAATTACATATTTCAATGCTAGCTTTTGGTTAATAATGTGACGTCGACATGATTTTTCCTATTATTTTCCAGCGACATAACTTTAAGTGTAGAAGGAACCAATCACAGTATAGAATTTACTAAAGTCTCATTGGTTGTGAAACCATCCAATAACTCACCTTCGACAAAATCAGATGTGATGACGTCACCTGGAGCAATTTCAAAAAAGAGTACTTCCGCTTCTAGATTTACTGAGGTCAATTCGCAAAAGATGGTGTCATATCAAAGCACGATGATTACAATTTCTAACGATACAATTGTTACGGACAGAAGTTCTGTCATGATAACGACAATATCTCCATGGACTGGAGACACGACGCGGGGCACTACAGGAAGTAGTCCTGAGGCGGATGTATCACCCCCGGCCTTCAGCAAACTGTCCTTTATAGACAGATGTTACAAAAACGTCAGATGCTCGGTATGGACTGGTGATATGTATCAATAACAACACAACCACGTTGTAGATGTTGAAGTACAACAATCAGAAAATCGTCGATCTTTAGCATAGGCGCTCCCCATGTAATTCTGTAAATGACGTATGATAAGTATATATAGGTCTACCCCTCTATACTATAAAATATCCAAGGCCTGCAACTGGGCGCCATTGTGGATTTCGCCTGGGACCTCTGACTGACTTACTTTAAGGATATCTGGGGTATACTGGGCTGGTTATCAGCATCGGGTACTCTAATTTATTGAAATAAAATATTTGCAAACTTTAATCCAGCACCATTCCGTTGCTTTCTCTTGTCTTCAAACATTTGTCTATTACACCGTCACACTTAGCTGATCTCGGCCGGAAGAAGTCGATTTCGTCGATTTTCAACAACTCGTACGAAAATAACTTTCGGAAGTTTGACAATATTTAGTGGGGAAAGTACATAGGCGCTTGGTTTCAGGGTGGTGTATTTTGTGTATTATGTGTTTTTTGGTTTGTCTGAATACCCTCATTAAAATAAAAATGAAAAATGTTTCTCTCTGGCTGCCCCCCCCCCCCTCACTTTCAAAAACGATGCTACATATACGTGCCTATGAGAGTATATATACTGTACATATGACATTTTTAAAACGTGCTAATTTCAGCGAGTTTTCATTTTTATTTTAATGAGGGTATTCAGACAAACCAAAAAACACATAATACACAAAATACACCACCCTGAAACCAAGCGCCTATGTACTTTCCCCACTAAATATTGTCAAACTTCCGAAAGTTATTTTCGTACGAGTTGTTGAAAATCGACGAAATCGACTTCTTCCGGCCGAGATCAGCTAAGTGTGACGGTGTAGTAGAAAAATGTTTGAAAACAAGAGAAAGCAACGGAATGGTGCTGGATAAAAGTTTGCAAATATTTTATTTCAATAAATTAGAGTACCCGATGCTGATAACCAGCCCAGTATACCCCAGATATCCTTAAAGTAAGTCAGTCAGAGGTCCCAGGCGAAATCCACAATGGCGCCCAGTTGCAGGCCTTGGATATTTTATAGTATAGAGGGGTAGACCTATATATACTTATCATACGTCATTTACAGAATTACATGGGGAGCGCCTATGATCTTTAGTTGAATTTCAGAGAACAAATATCCTCATTCTGCTTAATTATGAATCAATGTCGGTAAATCTACTTTTTGTACAATACACAAATATTGAATAATATTTTCCTTTTTTGACTAAGATAGGAGAATGGGTGGTTTTGTTTGTGGTCCAGGATAACGAGTCCGGAGTTCACCGTGTGGTGGCAGAGGATACAATCCATTCCTTTGTCCGGACAGAGAATTTCACTGATGGCCTGGCTAATGTACCAATACACGGAAACATAAGGTATTTCTCTCATTCTTCAAATCTAAAACTAATGCATGTTCAAGTCCTAAGTACACTGCGCCAAATGTAACAGAAAAGGAGAAAATTTATGTCTTTTAAAACTGAAAAGAAAAACTCTAGGGCCTTGAATTACAAATGAGGTGCTCATTTGTACCGAGCCAGTCTTGGCGATATCCAGGATTTTTATTTCAAACCTAAAGAAGACAGAGTATTACAAAATTGCTATATCTGTGCATAATTGGAGCCACTTTAAATGATGCAGGGAACAGAGATTTGTCTGTTTTGTTAGTTTTGAATATTTTTAATATCCTAAAGAACCAAAATGAATTAGAACTACGTACGATATCTATATTGGATTCCGAAACTTCTTACAAACAAAGATACATTCCAGTAAATGTTTAACCAAGCCTCTTTCTTTACTCCTCACTAAGATATTAACAGCAGTGAAGGAGAGACTTCAAGAGTACTGCGCAGCAATATATTCAAGAAGTGGTGTAAAACAGATGTGGATACTTAAAAATTCCAAATAAATATTGGACAATTTGAAATCAAGAATTTACCAAAATCAACAGCATAAAACTTACGAGCTTCCAACTCTATACACAATCATTCTCCACGATAAATTAAATTCTAAGCTTTTTGATATCACTGACAGATGCTTTTTCAATAAAAATGGAACTCGTAAATTCACTTACGTTGTCATTGGTCATTTGCAAAATTATTTTGTTAAAAAACATTCTGATTGTACACACAAATACTCTGAAGTTGACATCAAAGAGATGCTTGAGTTTCTGATAGACAATATCTATGTGGTGTTCGGAAACCAGGTCTTCCAACAATCTATTGGAATTCCCATGGGTATTAATTGCGTCTCATTATTAGCAGATCTATTTTTGTATTCATATGAAGCAGAATTTGTCCAAATCTTTTGCGTTAAAAGAAGAAAACACTTGCTGTGGCCCTCAACTCAACATTCAAAATTATCGACGGCGTATTGTCACTTAATAGTGGTTATTTCCATTCTTATGTCGATACGATATATCCTGGTGAGCTTGAGATACAAGACACTACAGAGTCTGACACATTTGTTTCATATTTGGATATTTTACTTGAAAAAAGATGTTAATGGTAATCCAACAACCAAGCTCTATGATAAACGTGATGACTTTAACTTTTCAATTGTCAACTTCCCTTTCTTATGCAGCAATATACCTTCATCACCTGCATACGGAGTTTATATATCTCAGTTGATTCGATACGCAAAAGCATGCTCTATGTATGAACAATTTCTAAAACGAGGTAAATTATTGACAAACAAGTCGATGAAAAAAGAATATTATCAGTCTCGTTTAAAATCATCATTTCGTAGTTCAATGGTCGGTATAATCAACTTGACAGCAAATGCAATTTATCTTTGAGTCAAATACTAACGTTTTTCATACTAATTGTTAGTCCATTATTTATACACTGAATTGAGGAAGGATTTTTACATTATTTCCCGATCATGACAAGGAGCACACGGCGGGTGTTACCGGTCGGCAATGGATGCTCACTCCTAGATGGCACCTGATCCCACTTATGATGTTTTGGAGGTCCGTGTTTGCTCTGCTCCTATTTTGTATTTTTTTCATGGATTTTTGATGTTGAATACTGTTCGTTATCTCCATATGTTTCATATCAATTAAACAATAAATAAGTTCTTTTGGATTCTATAATACCAGTTGAACAATAGCTAAGTTCTTTTGGATTCTGTAGTACCAGTTGCTGTCAGAACGAGGCTGTGTTGATTGTAGAGGATGTCAAGGGAAACAAAGGTCGTTATAACCTAACCTATGAAGATCATCAGGTGAGTTAACTGTTTTGTCTGTAAGCTTTGATTTATTTAATATGACTAAAATGCTAGTAAGGATCCGATTCGGTAATTTATTAGTATAAATAAATAATTTTGTTTTTGAATCTCCATTTTCATTGCAGTAGACTCTGGCGGCAATGTAGCTGAGGTTGAATTCATGAACTCGATCTAAGAACCTATAATTTAAATTTGATACATATAAAACTCTTCTGTTAATATTTAATACTCGATATTAAAACTTATTCCTTGTTGTGTCTATTTAATCTCTCTTCTACATTATGGTTAATGGCCCCACGACTTGTGGAACAATATCTTGCTTCTTACGACAAATAAGTTAAATGAATGTCCATTGTATCACTTACACGTATGTAAAAATTACTTCTCTGTGTCTTGTTATCACAAATTATAAATATTTCCTTGATAGAACTCTTCGCTCTTTTAATTGACAGAATTCAAATGGAACAGACACGAATACTTCAGCTACCAAACATAAACTCAGAGACTTGGCGGCCATTGTTGTTGGATTCTGCGCTGGAATTCTCGCTCTCATCATATTTTTAACACTTATAATTCAGTTTAAATCAAATATAGTCTCCATTTTTGCCAAGATCAAATTCCCTCATTCTGAGAAGGAAGTTGAACTACGTGTACCACACAAACTCTCGATTAACCCTGGCACCAAGGAAGACGTGTCAGTGTCAAAGAAAGATGTGTCAACATCATAGAAAAATGTGTAAATCGCTAAAAAGATCATGAAAAAGATTTTAAACACTTGAGTGATGTCATTTGCCCAAAAGCTGGAAATGGTACTCAGAAATGTGGTTGTTCTCTAGTTAAATCGATGGAAAGTGAAATCTTACTAGCAAATACCAAATTTCACTGACAAATCTAATACAGAATACTGAGAAACATCAATATGGGTAAACAGGTCTGGAATGCTGTTTAGAACCCGAGGAAATATCCCTTTGTTATTTATTATTCAAAGTAAAATATCGCGATTTCTTGAATATTTTCATCCGATTTTAAGACCTTACTCAAGTTTTAACCAGTGATACTAGTTTTTCTTTCTATGTGCAAGCATATAGGTTATTTGTCATTTTATATGATGATCACGAACCACTGCAATCTCATACAAAATCATGTTGTAATTCCATCTTAAAAAGAACATAATTGCTTCATATTAAATTAATAATTCTTTAATTTCAAATTGGTGATGAGTTTTATACGTGAATCACTTATAAGAAGCTTATGAGTGATATGTTCAAGTTTGTATTTTATGCTCAATAAAATATATGTTTTGTAAATTAAAGAAACTGTTGCATTTTCTTTGCTAGTCAGCCAGATACAAAGGTGAGTGCTTTCAAACACCGTCTTATGATAGCGTCTCATTTTAGTTGAAAATATGTTTTTGGGAAGAACATGTAAATCAATTTGAATGAGTGAATCAAAAAGTTTGCTTCTTCAAAATTGTATAATTACATGTTTTAAGATCAACCTTTTCTCTTGAGCTATATCTATATAAATATCAAGCATTTGATTATTTCGATACATGTTAATTTTCATCAACGGCACGGTATTTTCATATAATCTCTATATATTGATGAATATATCTTGTTTGACTGGGCTTAAATATAGTGTATAGTGGAATAAAAATCTTCTTCAAGGTTCATCGATACTCTGAGGAGAGATAACTCTTAATTACATACATGTCTATTATTCCTTTATAGATTTGCCAAGTTGCAGTGTCTTTTTTGCCCAATTTTGCCCCGCAAGATATGTCAAAAGTGTTTGTTATTTACTTATCAAATACATTTCTTTAGGAAAATCATTAAGGTTCAAGCAACATCTAATATGAGTGAGCAGAGGATTTATGAACCTTAAAATTATTTCAGACGGAAATTAATTGTTAAGCTAAAAAAAAGTATATATTTCGATATTTCCAAATTTTTTTAAATTTATACAACTCCAGCAATAAATGTTTTTGATAAAATTGTACATAATCACAATACAACACTGTGTCAATAAAGTCCATTGTCACTAATACTATCACTATCTTTAGGGAAACTTCTTCCACGGAAAATATCAACACTTATACCTGTAAAGAATGAAAAGAAAATTGATATAAATTTAAAGATCAGTTTTACTGGCAAATATACAGTGGAACTCGTCTAATTCAGATGTTGTGTAATCCGCAATTTTGCCCAATCCGATCTACACTTTAAGTATCTTTGTTTAAAATGTTGTCTTAACCCAAAACGTCCAATACAGCTAATTTATTTGGAACCACTGGTGTTTGAATTAGACAAGTTTTACTGTAAAATAAAACAGAATTACTAAATTGTTCAGGATCAAGAGAAGAGTGAAAACAATTCTGCATGTTACTTTGAGATCAGAGATAGAATTGTTGTCAGATTAAGTACTCCACTTACGAGGACAATATCAGTGATACGAGAGTTTGTCATAGTCTATTTCACCATTCTGCTTCTGTGGAGTATAGCTCACAATTTCTTCATATTCCTCTGCCAAGGGACGGCCTTTAGTGAACTGCAAGAAAAATATAAACTTTCTATAAAGCACAATCCATTTGACTGATCAGTTTGTTTTATATAATGTTTTAAATCATTTGAGAATTTTATAAATAACTTAAACTACATGTATAAGATATTAAAATGTCAATGACATTTAGAAGTGAATTGGACTATTCAACATCACAGTACTTATAGCAGCAGGCTCGTTAAAGTAATCATTTCGTAAGTTCTATGGTAGATACAATGACCTTGTCAGCAAATACAATTTATCATTGAGTCAAATGCTGACTGACGTTCTTCATACAAATTGTTTATGCACTGAGTTGACGACGGATTTTTCCGTTAGTTCCCGATCATGACAAGGAGCACACGGCAGGTGTGACCAATCGGCAGGGGATGCCCACTCCTCCATGGCACTGATCCCACCTCTGATGTTTTGGAGGTTCGTGTTTGCTCGTCTCCTATTTTGTATTGTTTTATGGACTTTTGATCTTGAATACTGTTCGTTATCTCCATATGTTGCATTTTAGAGGAGGAAATTTATATCTGTTTCAGTTTATACATTTTAAAATTATTATTAAAAATGGCATCAAATGTTTTTCAATTAAAAAAAAATAGATATCTTAGCATCAACCATTTATCTTTTATAGAAAATTGAGTCTCATACTTTGAAATAACAAACTGAAACCATGATAGAATGTATTAACTGTTTATACAATTCGGTTCTTTAGTTCTTTTAACCAACCCCAATTTCCATAATTTACATAAAGATTTTATCTTTTTTGAAAAAAATATATATATATACTTACTTTTTGCGCTATAACAAAAAATACTAGATGAAAACCGGAAGCACCGGCAAAAATCCAGAAAGTCATTGGAGCACCTAGTCTCTGAACCAGAATTCCGCCAATCAAACTTCCGCATCCGGACCCCAGACCCCAATAGACGCCGTGAAGGATCCCCTGCATAGTAGCCAGGTTTTCCTGAGGTACTGCAGAACACATATAGGCCGTCATGGCACTCCATACACCAGCATAGGTACAACCTTTGAAAGAAATATCTTTTATAATATTTCGTTTTGTTATATAGTTTTTAAAAGTCAATAACCATGTATTCTATACTAAAAAATGAAATGTGAGATAAAACAAAATGATTAATGTTCCCAAACACGTCATTAAAGTACATATGGGTTTAGTTATCACAGATTTCCGTTAGGATTATGAGGTATATGAATTATATTTCTAATTTAAGAAATACAACATCACAAAGAGAGAAACAATACATATCAATTAGGTCTAATCTGGCTTGTATTTTTTTTTTCAATCACGATCTTAATATTTTTTTCTGTTAAAAATAGAACTTCAAAAAATATAAGTAAAGTAAGATCTCACGTAATTTTTTTTAACCTTCCCAAAGATTTAAAGTAAAATATAGGTAGATAACGAATAGTATCTAAGGTAATTCTATTTAAACAGTGCAAATCAGGAGCAGCGCAAACTAAAATATCAGAGGTGGGATAAGGTGCCATGGAGGAGTTGGCATCCACTGACAACCGGACACACCTGCCGTGTGCTCCTTGCCAAGATTGGAAAAATCCGACGACAATTCAGTGTGTAAATAAAGGTCTAACAATAAGTATAAAAACGTCATTCAGCATTAATTTGCTTTCAGGAATTTGCTGGCAAGCCCATTGTATTGACAATAATGTTGCAAAATGGTAACTTAGAAATAAACTGTTGATATTCTTATTTTATCAACAAATTACCTCGTTTCAGAAATTGTTCGTACGTAGATCATGCTCTTGCGTATAGAATCAACTGAAAATATATTTATAAGACCCCGTAATGCAATTAATAAGGGTACAGTGTATATTGTCCATACGTAAGTTGACGATTGATAAGTTGAAGTCATCACGTTTATCATAAAGCTTTCATTGTATGGTTAGTATTAGCGTCTTTTTCTAGTTAAATACCCAAATATGAAACAAATATGTCAGACTGTTTTTGATTCCAAGCTGACGGGGATACTCAGTATATTATGTCGACATACGAATGGAAATAACTATCTTTAATTGATAATTCGTCGTCGATATACCGGTATCTTATTGCTAAGTTGAGGCCACGACAAGTGTTTTCTTCTTTTCGTGTATAAGAGTTTGAATAAATTATACTTCATATACGAATACAAAATAGGTATGCTAGTAACGGGGCGCATTTGGTAGTCATGGGGATTCCGACATATTTTTGGAAGGCCTGGTCTCCAAAAAAAACCACGTAGATATTGCCGATCAGAAACTCAAGCATCTTTTAAATATCTTACTTAGTACTTGTGTGTACAATCAGAATGTTTTCCAACAAAATAGTTTCGTAAATGACCAATGCCAAGATAAAATAATTTATTTATTCCAACTGTTTTTTTTAATTATTATTAAAAAGCAGTTGTCAATGATTTCAAAAACCAGAGATTTGTCTTGGGGAGTTGTTGTATAATTACAGAATTAAAAGTTTGCTGTTCTTGACTTCCAAATGTTCCTTTCAATATTTTACGTAAAGCTTTTATCTCCCACTAAGTAAACTCACCAAGCAATTACTCAGAAAAAAATTCAAGCAATAAAATATTAAAGCACGAAAGAAAAATAAATAGAAATTGACACACATACACACCTTGAAATATTTCTACTGGTAGTACTAGCCAAGGGTTTGTGACCGATGCAAACACACAAAATCTACAGATATATCCCAGCAGACCGAGCACCATAAAGGTCGAGTAGGATATATGTTTAAAAATGTAGAATACAACTAAAAACATCAGTGCCTCGGAGGTACAGCTTACCACGGAGCCTATGCCCACTAATAACTGGGTGGCCCCTATTAAAATAAAAAAAAATGAAAGGTTCAGAAAATTAGAAAAAAGAATTTTTTCACAAGAAAAGTTTTTAAAACATTTTGATGCCAAAAGTGAGTGTTAAGTACATCTTTGAGTATAATATTTCACAATCCGATATCTATATTAAAAAAAAATTGCAACTTGCATTTAAACATGACATATGGCGTTTTCAAAAGGTATTAATGACACTTTAAATGTGTATGCAACAGCTTGAGATAAGATTTTTAATATTTTAAACACACAAACAAGAGGCCCATGGGCCACATCGCTCACCTGAGAAGCTTTGACCATTCTGTTCTTTACCAGATTTCCCCCTTGTAATACATAATGCATCCCCACCCTACCCCAGTGATCATAATTTAGACATTTTGAAATCTACACTACCCCAGGATCCTTCCATGTGCACATAAGTTTCAGCTTTTCTGGCCCAGTGGTTCTTGAGAAGAAGATTTTCAAAGATTTTTCCTATATATTTCTATGTAAAACTTTGATTCCCCATTGTGGCCCCGCCCTTCCCCCGGGGGTCATGATTTGAACAATTTAGAATCTACACTACCCCAGGATGCTTCCACATAAGTTTCAGCTTTTCTGGCCCAGTGGTTCTTGAGAAGAAAATTTTCAAAGATTTTTCCTATATATATTTCTATGTAAAACCTTGATTCCCCATTGTCGCCCCGCCCTTCCCCCGGGGGTCATGATTTGAACAATTTAGAATCTTCACTACCCCAGGATGCTTCCACATAAGTTTCAGCTTTTCTGGCCCAGTGGTTCTTGAGAAGAAAATTTTCAAAGATTTTTCATATATATATTCTATGTAAAACTTTGATTCTCCATTGTGACCCCGCCCTTCCATCGGGGGTCATGATTTGAACAATTTAAATCTACACTACCCCAGGATGTTTCCACATAAGTTTCAGCATTTCTGGCCCAGTGGTTCTTGAGAAGAAAATTTTCAAAGACTTTTCCTATATATTTCTATGTAAAACTTTGATTCCCCATTGTGGCCCCGCCCTTCCCCCGGGGGTCATGATTTTTACAATTTAGAATCTACACTACCCCAGAATGCTTCCACATAAGTTTCAGCTTTTCTGGCCCAGTGGTTCTTGAGAAGAAGATTTTCAAAGATTTTTCCTATATATTTCTATGTAAAAATTTGATTCCCCATTGTGGCCCCGCCCTTCCCCCGGGGGTCATGAATTTTACAATTTAGAATCTACACTATCCAAGGATGCTTCCACGTAAGTTTCAGCTTTTCTGGCCCAGTGGTTCTTGAGAAGAAGATTTTTTAATGACACCACCCTATTTTCGTCTTTTCTTGATTATCTCCCCTTGTGAGGGAACTTGGCCCTTTATTTTAACAATTTAAATTCCCCTTCACCCAAGGATGCTTTGTACCAAGTTTGGTCAAAATTGGCGCAGTGGTTCTTGAGAAGAAGTCGAAAATGTGAAAAGTTTACGGACGGACAGACGGCTGGACGGACGGACGGACGACGGACAAAATGTGATCAGAAAAGCTCACTTGAGCCTTCGGCTCAGGTGAGCTACAAAGGACTAACAAATTATCTATCATCATATCTGTAAAACAGAGTATATACTGAATTTAGTTCATGCCCCTTCATATAATAAATGTATACTGCTAAATCATTGAAACCCAACCTGGTTAATATTTTACATGTACCTATATTCTCCAAGTGCCAGTATAAAAAGCCCCATATAAGACCGTTGGACACACCCATAAAGAATGCAACAAACAGCCAGGAGGCATAATGTATAGAGCAGAATAGCTTAAAAGTCCCCATCACAGCTGGGATTGGTTTCCCATTGGATTTTTCTTCTTCTTGTTTCTATTAAAAAAGGATATAAAGAATTAAAACTCATGTATTGATGACTCTAGGTCTAAACTTGCATCTCTAAATCTAAACTTGCACCAATAAAAAATTTGAAATGGAATTATAATTTTTAAAGAAAATGTTGCAAATGTTATAGCATAAGTTTCGTTATAAATGATGACGAAATGTCAGTCATCAAAAAGATATGATATGCATGTAATAACTAGAAATATTCGACAAGAAAATTAACAAGCTCAACAGCTCTTCTTCATCGTCAGCAGATTCTTTTCCTTGTATATTCTTATGCAAATTGGTCATATATCATTACTACCGCCTCTCTCTAGGAGGTTATGATTGAACCAACTAAATTCTACATTACCTAGGTATGTTTCGATTTAAATATGACTTATCGTGGTTTTGCTGTTCTTCAGAAAATTTTTCCGTGTATTCCTACATTTATGTAAAACAACCTTCTCAAAGGATCATGATTTGCCATTTGAATCTACACTACCTGCAGATGCTTCCTTTTAAACACTGTATGATATATATTATGGTTTTGCTGTTCTCGAATAAAAGATTTTTAAATATTTTTATTTAATTCTAAGTAAACTTTGATCCCAAATTGCTGAAGCCCTTACACCCAAGGGTAATACACATATGACGATCATGACTCTGTAATTCATTAAAGAGGGTTTTTAAAAAAAAATTCCAATATACACTGTATTTCTATGTAAAACTGATCCTCTGTTGTGGCCCAACCTGCCCCCAGTGGACATGATTGGAACAATCTTGAAACTATACTTCCTAAGGAGTCTTTTATCTTAGTTTAACTTAGATTAACTTTGTTGTTTTTTATTTTTTTTTTAGATCAGTCCTATATATCTCTATGTAAAACTTTGATTCCTTATTATAGCCCTGTCAACGCACATGAAATATAATTTATTCAAGTACCTGAGGATGCTGCTAAATAAATAAATATACAATGTATATGATTTATCAAAGCTGTGTTGTTCTTGGGAAGAAAATTATAAGGTATTTCCTTTCTAGGTTTGATCCCCTGTACAGTAGCCTCACCCCTCCTCTTGGAACATGATTGGGACAATCTTATTTTGTTTTTATAATACAATGACGTAACAGCTGGTCTTGGGGAAAAGATTTAAAAAGATATTTCATTTAATATTCCTATGGTAAAATTATGATCTTCTGCAGTGTCCCATTCCTAAAACACACAAACACCAGACACTTTTCGATCAGAGAGCTAACTTGAGGATTCAGCTCGGGTAAGTTTAAAATAATTTATGAAAATACCGGAAATTTATACATCAGGGCAGCAATGAAAGTGAAAACCATGCAGCCAGCAAAAAAGTAGAAACATATTCTGTAGTCACTCATCTGGAAACTAAATCCACAGATCTCAAACTTGTATCTGTTCAAGGCGACCACTCCTCCAGCGCTGATAGACCTAAGGATGAAAAAAAAACCTCTCAGTTTAAAATTGACGGATGTAATATTCAAACTCTTTTGTAATAGTGATATACAGTACTCATTCATTTAGATTTTAAGATATAATACTTTGAATGTTAAAATATAACAAGTTTCGATTTGTTTTAATATGCATCAATAAGAGACCCATGGGTCAGAACGCTTAGCGGCATCAAGTTGGCATTGTGTTCTTTTAGAATACATATAACTTTAAGACCCCTCCCAACCCATTTTTCTTCACATGAAAGATTTGAATTTCTTATAGGTCTATATGTTGAAGTACTGCTTTGATCAAATATTACATACAGCATAAAAACCTATGACTTTTCAACTTTATATACAACCATTTCCAACGATAAATTAAACTCTAGGCTTTCTGACATAACTGAAAGCTGCTTTTTCAATAAAAATGGATCTCATAAATTTACTTACCTTGTCACTGGTCATCTGCAAAATTATTTTGTTAAAAAACATCCCGAATGTACACAGAAGTACTCTGAAGTTGAAATTAGAATTAAAGTATTCAAATTATCAAAGATGAAATAACCTTAAAAGCAGGGATTACTGTTGAATTACTGTATCAAACAACAGAATAACAATAGTACTGAGTGATTACTATTTTATTTGGCTGAATGGGCCACGGTTCTATTTGTGGTGAAAAAGCAGCTGTTTATATGATGTCACAAAGCCTAAACCTTAGTTTACTGTGGGGAACTGTTGTATATTTAGTGCTGAGGTCGTACATTTTGATGTTATTAAATTTCTGTAAAATTGAATGATTTCAAAATCTTTTAAGTACTCATTTTTGATGTACAATACTTTTAGAATATACTGTTGTACAGTTCTCCTGAAGCTGTACATATGTTAGTTAGAAGTAAAGAAATAGGCTTGGTGAAACGTTTGCTAGGACCAGCTACTAGTATGTATTGTTGTTTGTAAGGAGTTTTGAAAAGTTAGAAGTGTTTGCCCTACTGCAGGCTTGTATTGTTTCTAGGGAATTTTTTCTTGGTCACTGTTCGTTATCTCCATATTTCATATTGTATAACATAAAATTAATAATTTATACAGTATAGACCATAGGTAAATAAGATTTTATATAGAGTGAGATGCAATTACCCTGTACTTACATATCTGGAATTTTTCTTTGTCGAATATCTTATGTAAAACTACGCCAAACGAGAAGCGCGTTATAGAACAAATGCTAGCAAAGCAATGTTTTTGAAGTGCTTTTCATGCCGTGTTAAATGAATAAAATGTATTTTCTTCAATAGACATCTAGAACAGAGACTATCAGTTTACGCAGTTATAAAAAAAATATTAAATCAATTTGATAATTAAAACATTATAAAGGAGCATAATAGAGATATTTCCTTCAGCCGACCAGAGGGTGTTGTGTTGTGAAACAAATAATTAAACTTACTTTTAATAATGTTATAACTCATTTGTGTATATATTATTTCTATTTCAGGAGATTGAGGATAAATTATAAAATATAATCAATTTGATGAGTTTCACAAACATTCCATTAATCTATCCTGGCTGCTCCTGTCTTGGTATCTGCCAAATAAAATAATCAAGTCATGTGACGGAAGTCTATAATTAATCGCAGGAAGGTTGTTTCTTTAATCTTAACTTTGAATAGGTTTTGTTGAGAGTGGTTGCATTTGATAAAACATATAATGTACAGGGAGTTTTTGATGGAGAAAAAAAAACCCATATTGTTGAGTTATCCATTAATGCATTAATTTTTTAAGATATATATCTAGAGTTCTATTTTTGTACTTATGGATGCATTAAGCAGTGTTCACAAGTTCCTCTTTCATCCAAAATACACAATAACATTGTATTTTACAGATTTAAAAATCTGTTCGTGTGATGATGAGTTAAGCATAGTCTGATTTATGACGAATTTTGAATACATGTAATAAATAACAAATTCATAAATTAATTGACCATTTTAATTCATTCTTAAGCCCAAGAATTTCATCCATTCATTTAATATTGTTTTATGTTCCATGCAAGATTTTTTTTCACTCAAATAAGACGTCACAGAATACCAGTGAAGAATTTCAATTTTAGACTTATAATATATACTCTGCACTATATAAGCCAATTAGGAGTGAGGTATCTTTAGCGTGTCAACATCTGTTGTGACATGGAACCTTGTTATCTCTATTCTCATCCGATAGCACCGGGTGTTTGGCAAAGGAACCCTCATTGGACCTTGTCTTAGTATTGACACAACGCCACGAACGAAGTGAATGCCTTAGCAGTAGGCTATGTTTTTAATTATGCTTTAATAAAATGCATTCAAATATATCGATCGACAGGCATATGTTTTAATTTTTTTAAGGAGACATAGTTGTGAAATTTCACAGAAATTTTTATTTTTAGTAATCATGGCAACAACGTTCATCGAAATCAAACTGATGCCATTATATTATGTATCTTAGTGTTGTCTACTTGTGTGCCAAGTTATATTGAAATCAGACCAAAAACTGTAGATGTAAATGAATTTCAAAGAAATTTCTGTTTTTAGTAACCATGGCAACACCGTTCATCAAAGTAAAAAAACCGATGCTCTAAATTATGTATCTTAGTGTTGCCTACTTGTGTGCCAAGGTATATTGAAATAAGACCAAAACTGTAAGAGGAGTAACATTTTGAAAAATTGTTTCCAGACAGACAGACAGACGGACGACGGACACCTTAATATCGCATAAACTCTTCTGGTCTCTGACCAGTAGAGCTAAAAATCACACATTTATAATCATTTGTGCTACAATGACCTTTTCAACCAATATAGTCTATCATTAAATCAAATGCTGACTGAACTTTAATTTACTAAATAGTTAAGCCATTATTTACACACTGAATTGTCAACGGATTTTTCCCGATCATGGAGCACAAGGCGTGTGTGACCAGTCGACATGGAAAGCTCACTCCACCACGGTACCTGATCACATCTCTAATGTTTTGGAGGTCCGTGTTTGCACTGCTCCTGATTTTTAAATACTGATCACTATCTCCATATTTTATACAGATCTCAATATATAAAAATCTCATTTACCTTCTTTCTGTACATGTACTATATTAATCATTGATGATATTAAGCTACACACGAGTTTTATAATTAACATTTTGATCTAATTTCACGTTTACGTATTTGGCAATCATATTTGATGTTCTAAATATTTTGAATAATCCCATCTTCATTTTCAATTCTATTTTAATTCAATTAATGCAACTGTATCAAGAATTTCTTCTATGTTTCTTTAAGTTTTAATTTAAACAATAAAATGCTTTCTTTGTTTGTTATTACTGGAATTAACAGAAGCAGCTGTTGCAGAAAAAATACATAACCCGCGTAAGCGGGTTATGTATTTTTTCTGCAACAGCTGTTTATATGTTGTTTATATATTGTTTATATTTATATCTGTTTAAATAATCATTTAAAGTAGGATTAAAAAGATTAATTATTGTATTAATGATGCGAACGTCTTTATACGTTCCATTGATGAAACAGCCACTGATCAAGAAATTTGTACAGGCGACATGCCTAATGTAGTTCATGCAGTGATTAACGCAATGGGTTTTCTTAAGAAATAAAGGAGAAAATATTCAGTGGATGTAAATATAGTAAAATAAAAACAAAACCATTAGATTTATGACTTCGTTATTTTAGTAAAAACGTTTTGAATTATCTACAGAGAATAAGCCTTTCTACATGTCCGAGTTATGTAAAATTAAGAATTTTGAAATTGATCAATAATTCAAAGATTCGTTTGTGCAGAAATCCGCTGACAACGTGAAAGCTGCGAAAAAAGTAAAATAAAGGTATTCCCGTTACCAAGGAGATCAAACGAAAAAACTAAAGAAGAAAACCTTAGAAGAATTCTATTGCAATTGTTATAAACGGAAAGGCAGTGTGTCATATGGATAAAATCACTCGAGCTTTTTACGAGATTTTTTGAGGGATGTCTTGGATACAGCATTCTCTCTGAGTCAGAAGTAACATTCCGCACATCCTGAATACAACTGAACATCCCAATGAGATATATGGAGATGTGCTCCTTGTTATGATTGGGAAATGACAGGAAAATCCGTCGTCAGTTCAGTGTAAAATAATGGACTAACAATTAGTCTGAAATACGCCAGTCATGCAGCATTTGAGTCAATGATAAATTGTATTTGCTGACAATACTTCAAAGGATATAAGTCGTGTTAAAATCCAACATCTACTAAAATCTGATCAGAAGATATCATTACACATGTTTACAAAAAGGGGTATTTAAATGACTGAAATAAATAAATAATGAAAGAAAAAGTGAGCTAGCTCACATACCCCACGCTCCCCCAAAACTTGACGGTGAAACACATAATGAAAGGCACAGTGCACTTTAAATACATAGTATAGATCAAAAAGGGCAATAATTAAAAAAAATCTTCACATCAAAATGTCTTGCACATGAGGACATTTAAATGTGGAATGAAGTTTCTATATAATTAATTGAATCAAAATTTCTTGGCATTATACAAATCCAAACATTAATTTGAAGTGTTCAAGACAGCCGGGGGGGGGGGAGGGGAGAAATTTTCTTGAATAATAGGCAAAACTTTGGGATAAAATAATGGAATATGTCCTAAATAACTCCATAGGTTGAAACTATGTACAACAGATTAAGAGGAGTGGTGCTGACAAACTGTTCATCTCTATATTCAAAATATGGCCAAAAAGTCTAAGTTGGAAAATGTGGAAATTCCCGGAAAAATAAAGGAATCGGAATTTCCTGGTAATATGCACATCTACATATTGTGTCCTAAATACCTGCAAAGTTTGACGAAATTCTGTGCAGCGGTTTATCAGGAGTTGCGCTGACAAACTGTTCATCTCTATATTCAAGGTATAGCCAAATGCCTAAGTTAAAAAGTGCGGAAATTCCCGGAAAAAATAACGGAATCGGAATTTCCTGGTAATATGCACATCTACACATTGTGTTCTAAATATCGGCAAAGTTTGACGAAATTCTGTGCAGCGTTTTATGAGGAGTTGCGCTGACAAACTGTTAATCTCTATATTCAAGGTATGGCCAAATGCCTAAGTTAAAAACTGTGGGAAGTCCTGGAAAAAATAAAGGAATCGGAATTTCCTGGTAATATGCACATCTACATATTGTGTCCTAAATACCTGCAAAGTTTGACAAAATTCTGTGCAGCAGGTGTGTCCTGGTAATATGCACATCTACACATTGTGTTCTAAATATCTGCAAAGTTTGACGAAATTCTGTGCAGCGTTTTATGAGGAGTTGCGCTGACAAACTGTTAATCTCTATATTCAAGGTATGGCCAAATGCCTAAGTTAAAAACTGTGGGAAGTCCTGGAAAAAATAAAGGAATCGGAATTTCCTGGTAATATGCACATCTACATATTGTGTCCTAAATACCTGCAAAGTTTGACAAAATTCTGTGCAGCGGTTTATGAGGAGTTTTGCTGACAAATTTCCTGGTAATATGCACATCTACACATTGTGTTCTAAATATCTGCAAAGTTTGACGAAATTCTGTGCAGCGTTTTATGAGGAGTTGCGCTGACAAAATTTCTTCTAATATTCAAGGTATGGCCAAATGCCTAAGTTAAAAACTGCGGGAAGTCCCGGAAAAAATAAAGGAATCGGAATTTCCTGGTAATATGCACATCTACATATTGTGTCCTAAATACCTGCAAAGTTTGACGAAATTCTGTGCAGCGGTTTATGAGGAGTTGCGCTGACAATCTGTTCATCTCTATATTCAAGGTATGGCCAAATGCCTAAGTTAAAAAGTGCAGAAATTCCCAGAAAAATAAAGGAATCGGAATTTCCTGGTAATATGCACATCTACACATTGTGTCCTAAATATCTGCAAAGTTTGACGGAATTCTGTGCAGCGGTTTATGAGGAGTTGCGCTGACAAACTGTTCATCTCAATATTCAAGGTATGGCCAAATGCCTAAGTTAAAAAGTGCGGAAATTCCCGGAAAATTTTGGAATCTGAATTTCCTGGTAATATGCACATCTACACATTGTGTTCTAAAAGGCAAAGTTTGACGGAATTCTGTGCAGCGGTTTATGAGGAGTTGCGCTGACAAACTGTTCATCTCTATATTCAAGGTATGGCCAAATGCCTAAGTTAAAAAGTGTGGAAATTCCCGGAAAAAATAATGGAATCGGAATTTCCTGGTAATATGCACATCTACACATTGTGTCCTAAATACCTGCAAAGTTTGACAAAATTTTGTGCAGCGGTTTATGAGGAGTTGCGCTGACAAAAAAAGAGGACTGACTGACTGACTGACTGACTGACGGACGGGTCAAAAACATTATACCTCCCGCAACTAGTTGCGTGGGGTATAAATATTACACTTGTTACTTGTTTATCAAAATTTTTTCGTATTTCCACATTAGATTGGGTATATTTACTTGGTCGAAAAACTACAGCGTATGCCGTTATTACAGTTGCTTATTTTGTTTAAAAGCAAAATGGTTGGTGTCTTCCCACTTTTTAAATTTAAAAATCTTAATTTCAACTATTCCCACTTGCAAATAACAATAGATGTTTATTACATGGATACAATACAACACTGGCAGAGGCAATTTGTGTTCTTCACTGGCAGGATTGCTTCAAAATATTACAAATGGGGCCATTTAATAAATTGTTGAACATAACCTTCAGATAAAGTGGCTATGTTTTTTCCCTGTTGGATGGATACTTACAGAGCTCCAAATCCTAGGGAACCCCAGCTTCTCTGGAAGCCATACTTGTTCATGTTCTCGCTTCCAAGGTGTTCAAGACAGCCGGAGTCCGCGAGAGAGGAAGTGGGAGACTGAACAAGTTCTCCAAAAATCACCAAAACAAAGACAATATAGAAAACCCTCTGAAGATCATCCGTGTTGAACATCCAGCCCCGACTTTCCAGGAGTTCTGCACGATTTATCCTCAGACCCTCGTTCATTGTCACATTAAGGTCAAATGGAACAGATGCATTATCTGGCTCAGAAATGTTTAACCCAACGTCTCGACATTTCTCCTCGGATTTACGGGGAGGGGTCACGAATCCTATACCCATTATAAATGCCACCCATCCTAGGGTACTGACCACAAGGAGGCATCTCCGCATACGCCATCTATCGGCAAATGACCCCCATAAAGGACCGCTACAGAATCCTAAGATAGGCCTAACTCCAGCCAAGATTCCGATTTCTCGTGGACTCAGTCCTAACTGCTTCAGATATAGAGACATAAACGGAAAAACCGCCCCGAGAGCTCCATAAAAGGAGAAGTAAAATAGTTTGAAAGGGAGGAGGTCAGTTTCCAAAGTATAAAAATATTTCTTTTCCGAATTGTTTTTCACACATTTTTTCTCCTCATTGGAAATGACGGATTCTTTATCCTCCGCTTTCATTATTTTCACTGATTTTTCTCTCGGATTTCTTTTTTAAAAATCCGTGTTATAGAAATTTCCTTGAGGAAACATTCTGTTGTGTCATTTTCCAGAGGACCACCTGTGACTGACTGTTGCTAATGTCATCTTTCCTTAATTTTACAATCCCTTTAGTGTTAGCATTCACACTGACATTCGCCAAATCAAATTTCGTCACAGATCGACATCTCCTGCAATTAGATTCAAAAATGCAATAAACTACAGTCACACATTTCACACAATGCGGTTATTATAGTAAACGGCTAACGTACTCTGAAGATTGAATTATAGGAATTATGCAAAAATAGCCCTATTATTTGTGAGCCTAAATCCATTATTCAAATGTGAATCTGGAAAGTCCATCAAATAAACAACGTTCAAGCTTCTAAATCTTGTGAAATAATGAAAATACTAGCTTCAACTCCAATGTTATAAAATATCAGTAAATCACAACTAAGTACACTCGGTTTTTATGATCTGCACACATAGACCAAGTCTCGGGGCATTGATCTCCGCTTATATATATACACATATACATTAAATCAGTTGTAGCAGATGTTTCCCTGAAATGATACCTCTGAAAACACTTAAACTTACCTGTACCTGCAAAAAAAATTGACTTGTCATCAAACTTTTTGTAAGGGGTCAGTGGACGGAATTTTCAGTCCCTCGTTAAGTATCTTGATAAGGTAATCATATAAAAAGAGCATTATTGGGTTAGAGTAAATCGTTTTAGCCTAAGGCAGTAAACATTAGGCGAATGTCATTTATAAGCTTGTTCCGTGATGTGAAACATTTGTATTTCATATGTACAAGTCAACCTGTAAATACCTTTGTATAAAAATTGATTTGGTGTGGGGAAAGGAAACCTGCATGGTTATGTTTTTGGAAGCTATGGGATAAATATTTGCTCCAGTCCCACAACACAAACTTAACTGGATAAAAATTAACTTTTACTTCTTCAAAAAGGACGTCTGACTAGGTTTTTTTAAATACCCGTCTATCTGTGCGTGCACTAATGTGGCTGATTGTCTGTCTGTCTGTCTGTTTTATCGTTGCCCATCTAACCATCTTTTTGTCTGCATGTTTGTTTCATTGCTTGCTGTCTGTATATATCTGTGCGTTCCACTGTTTCTATATGACCCACTGTATATCGGTATGTCTTTGAATGCTATAGTATGTGTGTCTATTTCATATTCTGTTCTCCCTTCAGTTTGCAATGGTAAAAGAAAACGTTATATTTGAAAGAATACAATTTATACTTTAATCAGTTGAGTATAATGTGTTTCTCTAGAAAATTTCTGATTGCATCGTTAAATTTAATTAAAATATCAAAACTCTATTATTTTTTCCTTTGCATAAACTTAAAAGATACGGTCTTTATTAAAGTTATCTGAAGCACTATAAATAATTTACAATTTATCTGGAGGTATATTGTTAAACTAATTTAATTAGTTTAACAATATACCTCCAGATAAATTGTAAACCACAGATCTCAGAGAATTCCTTGTAATACAAATCTTAGAATGATGAAAGGGCTTAATTGGTATATACATGTAAGTGATTTGAAGAAGCTGTGGTTGGTTTTTATATAGGATAGTCATGTGAAAATTGTGGAAATAACTGACTTTGCCCAATTCAATTATAAAATCATGTACAAAATACTAAATGCTTATTTGTTTTAGTCAGGGCCTCCAAAGGACAGAATCTTCCTCTACATCGTCTTTATACTAGTGGAATTTTGCCGACTTGGCTTTGTAATTGAAGATTTCTTGTTAATTTTTAAAAATATATTTTGTCGAATAAAATTCAATAAGGATTAGGATACAAGCTGAGCCTATGAGTATATTTTTTCTTATAATTGAAGCGGAATAAAAAATAATATTTTTATTATTCGTGTTTGATTGTTGAAGGATGAATATGACTTATCTGTATCGATTTTTATTGGAGTGTTCTCGCGTGGAAGTTAATCTTGTTTAGTGAATTAAAATTTATAGAAAGAGCGATGAAGGTAATGCCTATAGATACAGAGCTTTCAGAATAACACTTATATTATACCAGATATAAGCTTTCTTATAGCAAACAATGTTTTAGAGGAAATATATAAAGGAATTCACATATGATTAACATGTACAAAAAAGATATATCACTGTAATATTAATAATCAAAGAAAATAAGGAGCTAAGAGAGGTAACTCTAATCCTTTCTACAGTGTAAGCAACAATAGATAGGAAATTTTGAAGTGTCCAGAAATTTTTTTAAACAAAAAAGCAAACTCACCAGTTGGATAACAATCCTGGTCAGTCGTAGTATTAAGTATATAAAATAATTTTTAGCCCCTATATAATTGTAAGCGAGAATCGTACAAGGAAATGTCCCAGCTGATGTCACGGTTAATATTGTCCTTGAAGGTGTCTCGGCAGGCAAGCGTAGAAAATTAAAACTGCTGAACTGTTTAAAAGCGAAACAATCTGAACCAAGGCCACCTCGTGATGTCCTCTCTTATCAACGGAACTGTTCAAGTCATATAAAAACACAGTACTTAGAGCGCTTACAAGAAAATACCTTTCATCATGCTTGACGTGAAGGTAATTTCAATGCAAGAACTTTTTGATTGAACAATTCTTTTATGCTAAATATTTAGCAGTTATATTTTAAGTCCAATTTAATAATTAGCTACGGAATAAATAATACAAAATTTTTAAATGTGTAAAATCACATTTATTGATTGTGCATTTTTATGGACAGTATAAAGTGTAGAGGTTCACGGAGACGTATTTTATTCATTAATTATCAGTATTATTTAATTAATTTGGGGAGGGGGGGGGTACTTGTTATGAAAGATAGAGGATACAGAGTTTGTAATTACCTGGCTGAGAAGCAAACAGAAAATCTATTAAAAAAAATGAAATTTAAAAAAAAACCCACATAATCTGAAGTATTTCAAAGGTAAAGGTATTCCTAAACTTTTAGGCTTGTAGTCCACACAAGCAAGTTTTTAATGCATGTTTGGTGCCATTTATGATCAAAATGTAAGCAAAAGAATTTATTGATATCAATATATTGATAAAAAAGGAAGGAAATTGAAGAGAATACGAGAAATTGGATACACCATTGTCACACTAAGAAAATTTACCGTAAGGTGACCTGCAGAAAAGAAAAATAACCCCTAAAATGAAATAGAAAACACAAGTTCTGAAATCTTGTTTTTGAATCTGTGCTACACAAAATATGTGGTTAGGTTTAAGTTTTGTTTAGTATTCAATGCCACCTTCATATTCCAGTATATAAAATCAAGAAGTGTTTGGATAGATGAGAAGACACAAAGACAAACCCTGAGGGTTTACAAAGTACCTAATATTCAACAAGTTTACTTCCAGATTGTAAAACGACGACATATTTGGAAAGTGAGGTCAAAATGCCTTCACTGGAAACAATTGCTGCCCAAGGGGAGATAACGCATTAACGCATGCTTGACTACTTGGTTGTGTCCTTATGAACTGTTAGATCAGGATACGCTGCCCTTGGTATATGAAACTTTCTGAATACAAACAAAATAGTCCGTTCTGTAATTGACCGAAAAGAATTGAATAAACTCAAGAAAATATCTTCAAATACAAAAAAATAGCTTGTGAAGTCATGTAAATAGTAAATTTTACAATTGTGAATAAGAAAAGGTAAGCCCCATTCCAATGATGCGATATTGACTAGCCTTAGCGTGTCTATATGCGATTGTGCATCAGACTGAAACATTATATTTTGCAAAGTAATGCCATCGTCATGAGCAATACCTATCCAAGCATCTTTGAATAGAATGGTCAATTGTTGAGAAGATTTTTAGCGAATTATTTTTTTTATCAGTGAAGTAATTGTCAGCAACTGCAGCATCTTTACTACGAGGGTCTTTCAATAAATAATGCAACATGTCATCTAAAAAATATGAAAAAGTACATAATACTTAAAAGTTTCAATCCTTCAAGGCATTCCTTGTTACCCTTTACACATGTATTATGTCATTGAATCCATGTACAGAAAACTTCAGCATGGTCATCTTTAGGGATGCACCAAAGGCACTGACGAATATCTTTTCCCATGACATAGTTGACATTGTACATCTTCTTTTGATCGTTTTCATATGTTTTAGGAATAAAAAGATACCACAGTGTCTTAGATCTATCTAATATGACCGATGGAAAAGTTCTGTTCACTTTATTTTCTTCTAAATCTTATTTATTTCTCTAAGCTTATATGCAACTGCGTTGCCAGGCACAGGAAAAATACCCTGGTCACCGAAATTTGGATACCCTTGCAAGAAATCTGCTTAACTTTACTTGGTGCAATTCGAACATAAAAGTTACCATTGCTAGTCCTTCATTTGGATATATGTACATGTTCTAATGGATCTCTCTAAATACACGAAAACTAATAAAATGTTTGGAGCACTTGCTTTTCTTTATCATAATAAAATGACACATTTTCTTTGATTCCACATTTTTTTTTAATTATTAATCTTATTTTTCGGCTATAAAAAGTGCACTTATGTTTTGTCATTTATCAAGCAAGATTATCAAATCTTCAATTTTTAAAAAAACATTTTTTAAATAGACCGTTGCCACATTTACCGCATGTTTTCTCTAAGGCATTTGTAAGAAAATAGGGCACCTATCTGATAACAATATTATTAATTTATTTTCTTTGTCAAAATTCTTCCAAATGCTTTGTTACAACGCACTTTGAAAAATTACGCACTTTGAAAAAACATTTTCAAAGTGCGTTAAATTTGGGATCAAATCAACGCACTTTGAAAAAATAAAATTTCTTTTCAAAGTGCGTTAATATCGACCATATTAACGCACTTTGAAAAAATGTGTATGGATTGGTCAATATTCTTGCAAATCTTAGGTATGATAAATAATTGAACCTGTTTGATAACTCCTCATTGATGAGGTCAGTTAAGGATGTGAAAGTGAGCGATTTTGATTTTTCCATCCTTTGAAAATTCTTTCTCGCTTAAATGCTTTACTGTACTTAATTTTTTCCAGTTTGCATGCATTTTATATAAACTTAAATTTATTGAAAGTTTTCAACGTCATACCAGTTATGTAAATACATATATTTGGGTGTAGCATAGGCATCAGTACCGGGAAGGGTGGGGGAGGGTTACATGTAGGCACGCAAATGTTTTGCAAAGATATACATAATATATGTACATGTATGCATTAAAATTGGGGCTTACCTGGGGGTCAACTTTTAATTTGCTACCGAGGGCTATGTACAATGTTTAAGAAAAAAAGAGTTGGGATGAGAGAGACTTTCTACTCGTCTTCTCCTTGTTCTCAATGAGGTTAAATGAGTACATGTAAATTAAAAAAACGTTTTTCGAAAGATATAATTATTACAAATTGATTCTCTCTATTACTAAAATTTAAGTCCAGAATTTTTTGTTTCATACATATTTTTGTTCAAAGTGCGTTATATGCCTCAATGGTAAAAATTGTTTATACACACTCTTAACGCATTTTGAAAAAAAAATTCAAAGTGCGTTGAGTGTGTCCAAAATTTAACGCACTTTGAAAATTTTTTTCAAAGTGGGTTGATTTTGTCCCAATTTTAACGCACTTTGAAAAAAATTTTCATAGTGCGTAATTTTTTCAAAGTGCGTTGCCACAATGCTTTTATGATTTAATGTTTAGTATCTTTCTGATGTCTTTCCATGTAAATTTAGCATTTTCAGATATCGTGTGGCACACAACATCGATATTTATGGTGTCCCCACAAATTTCAATCGGCCAGCCTGATTGTTATATTTTCTTCTAAGTTATAGTATCCATCTGAAAAGTATACAGCATTAAAGATGACTTTTTTCTACGTATAAAATCATATCTTAAATATGAGTTCCTCGGCGATTTATATAAAAGCACAGTTTTCACATACGCTGTTTTCATTTTCTTGGTAGAGATAATTTATAAACAGCTTTTCGCTCAGTGTAGTGACCATGCTTACTTTAAAAGTGAATTTCTTTGCGAAGACAATAAGAAAATTCATGGGGTTTTCTGTCTTTAGGACCTCTTTAATAGAAACTTTTAAATGTGAAAAAATAAAATTAAAATTAAAGGCCTCAACGTTAATTATGATATACTGTATGTTGCATTACTTATTGAATGACCCTCGTATTTTTTATTAACGAGAAATAATAAGTTTCCAAGGAAACTATGATTGCTAAATTATGAATTACTAATAAAAATGTACATTTCTCGTAGGGAAACTTTCTGATTTATGTTGTATTGCCTGCTTCTTTAAGATGCTTCAGTTATCTTCCTGATCAATAAGAGAATGACACGACGACACCATCTGTAACTAATGTTGTCCACTGCCAAGCACAATGAATATTAAAGAGAGCTGAATAAGTACATAACAGCCATAGATGTTATATCTAAATAAAGACAAACTTAATTCAGTAGTCACGGAAGTTAACGGTAACACTGAATAAACTGTTCAGTAATTAGTTAAATATAGAAACATGCATGCCTGCTAAGTAATAAATTATTCCTCATGATAATTATATCAAAATATTCGATATATTATTTGATGGACAGAAAAAAAAAAATCGAAAACTTTATTTAAAAGAAAATATGATTGTGAAACATTGATGCCAGCTTATGGCGAGGATTGAAGTTTCTCAAATTAAACTCCTAAGATCAAGGTCAAAAAGTCAAAGTTGTTGGTACCCAAAGGAAAGGACTTGTCACAAGAAAGCCCTATTTTTTACTGTTCAAAAACTATGGCCAAGGTTAAAGTTTTTCAGATTGGGTCAAACTCTAAGGTCAAGGTCAAAAATATTTATGCATACTAAAAATTTCTGTCACAATAAATACACAAGTAAAGTATGAATGCACGAGCACCAGTTCAGAATTTGTACACTTGGCTAGTATGGTAATTTTTTGTAAAAGTGAGTCAACTTCAAAGGTCAAGAGGTCAAATTCGGTGGTATTGTTACAAGAAATACACCTGTGCATTATGAAAGCCATAGTCTCACCCACTCAAAAGTTATGAACAATGTTAACGCTTTTGCAAACAAACAAACAACAGACTAACAATGAGACAGACAGGACAAAAACTATATACCCCGAATCTTGGATTACTGGGGCATAGAAATTCTTGTTTTCTTTCTCTCTGTGTTAATGTTTTCTTTCTCTAGCTGAAGAATATAACAAACAAATGTTGTACATTTCAATTCGTTGGACGTATATGATGAGTTACAAAGTCAGTTAGGGACCTAATACGGAGTCATACAGGGTGTGAAATGGAAATCCGTATTGGGCTAGGAAAGCACACGATATTCAAAGCTGAAATAGTGATCATTTTTATTTCAGACTGTCTTCAAAACAAAATAAATAATTAAAAAAAAAAATTTAATAGTAGAATTTTTATTGCAT